TGTATATATATATATATATATATATATATATATATATATATATATAATTCTAACTATACATTGTACAACATGTAATATATTGTAATACAACAAGAAATTCAGAAGCGTTCCATATCCCTGAAAATAGAGCGCCGGCTGTTCTCGGCGTCAGTGACCTATCTGCACGAAGTTAGATGAAAGAGGTGGTGCGACTTCCCGCCATCTGATAAAGAATAAACCGTGTTATACAAGCAGGCTTGCGACGGCAATAATCTTACTCTGCGCAGGCGCATCCCCCGTGGAAACGGGGAATGCGGTGTAGCAGGACAAGTTGGTTTTGGTCCACCCACTTTCGTGAATGTTTAACTTACAAAATGCGTTTAAGGGGTAGCAATGCGTTGATAAAAGTAACCCCAAAAGACCCTCTGGCCCCTTTCGTTTTGGGACGGGCGTACGCCTCTGGGGTAGCGAGCCTCAGCGTACTTGTGGCATGGACAGCTTCACGAGACCACTGTAATGACAACAAACCGTGGCCTTGGCGATGATGCATTGACTAAATATAAATGCATCACGTTGCACTACATCGAGAACAGCGCCGTGCTCCGGCACTGAACGAAAGCGTGAGTGTATATCGCGTGGCGCGCGTGGCGCCCAGTTGTGACGGGACGCCGCAGCCCACCGGCGGCTGGCAGCCGGGCCGGGCGGCCGACCCGTCCGCCGCCGGGGGGGGGGGGGGGGGCGCCGACCAGGTCAGTCCCGCGGCGCTGCCGGTGACCGCGGCGGTTGGCCGGTCCGCGCGGCGGTGCGCCACGCTGACCCCGATCTGGCGCCGCCGCAGCGACGCTTGTGTTGGCCGCCACCCAGCCGCACCACCAGCACGGTCTGCACGCTGTGCAGCTGTGTACACGTGCTGGCCGGCGGCGGTGCAGGCAGCGCGGCCGGGGAGCGCAGGGCGGCGCCGGCCAGGACCGTTGGAAAATGACCTCAGCCTCAGAGGTGGTTAGAGAGTGAAGAACCTGAGCAGGAGCACAGATGTTAACTACACCCCTAACGTAGGGGTAGTTGTCCAATTTTCATTTGTCAATTCTTTTGGCACGGCATTGTTGTCGGGCAAGTCAGTAACTGACGCGTCTTCTATATTTTATTTCCAAAGGCAGGGCTTGTGGTCGGGCCGCGGCTCATGATTTATGGGCGTCACCCTCCACAGTGCTCTGGAAATTACTGTATTTGCTTCACTACTGATGAGATCGCATGCTTCCTTGAAGCCATGTTTGTTTCATTGCAGGTGGTCACGCTTGGTGCGGCTCCTCGCGGATGGCAAGAGATGACATCCTTTGCGGGAAGCCATCAGTTGAACCTGTCGGAAGTTGACTGTCCCATTCCTTACATAAAGCAGAGATTCGTCTGTGGCTTGATCTTCCCGCGATTCACAGAAGAGGCAGAATGTATTTTCTATGCATTGCCGATTGCTAATGAGAGTGACAGTAGCGCATGTAGGGACAGACTTGTGTTCGACTCAAACCTCTTGAGCCGGCTCAGGACTGGCTTACAGATTTTGGGATGGGATTCAGCTTATGACTCATAGCCGCTCTAATTTTGTTTATTCGGCTCGGTTTAGCTCATCACATGCGTTGAATCTGGTGGTCCATGACTCACGCGGCTTGAAAATCACATGTCCGATTAAATTCTAGCTCATTGCGTTATAATGTGTGTGCCGTGCAATATCCTCTGAATCCGGGTTGAAATTGGCAAAGTTTAGATCAGGTTCAGTACTATTGTCTGCTATTTAGGACTTACGATTATTAAGTTTGCGCCGATTGTGCAAAAAGGTTCATAACTAATTCCGCATGCTTTTCATTTTAACATTGAAATGGCCTGGTTGTCTGGCGTGTGCAGTGTTCCCTTATGTTACCATTTCCATTTGAGCTATGTAACCATTGAGTCACGGCATTGCTGGAAATAATTGGCTCACGATTCAGCTCATGCAATTTTCAACAACAAAAATATGTTCAGCACACGGCTCAAAATGGCATTTTCCTGATAAACCGACTCAGTTCGTTGCTCACCCCAAAACAATTGGCTCGCGAGCTAATTAGGGATTCAGCTCGAGTCGAACACAGGTCTATATAAGGATGCCGTTGACAGGTTCACAACTCACCTAATTTGAGATGCGCTACTCCGCCTGTCTCCCGCGACTCCCAGAGGTCGGGTATCGAAAAGTGTTGGATCGTTAGTACCGACAGTGCCTTGCCTTGCGAAAATACTCCAATGCGCCTCGGTTGTCCATTGGTGGGTTTTCCCGCGACCACAGAGATTTCGCTAGAGTGATCATGAACAACTGACCTTTGGCAACGGCAGTAAATTCGATCACTGAGGGTACTGTTGGCTGATTTATTCCGACGACTCCAAAAGGTGGCGTTTACATGAGTCGATGAGAGATTCCCGCAATATCAGATTTCAGTTACGTCGAAGCTAATACCACACACCACGGATAACTCGGATACCACGATGCATCGTTGTGGTACCACGATGAAAGAAGAGCTCTGAAATATACGGCTGCACTGTTTCGCTTATAAATGAGTGAGAGGTACCACATTTGATTGTATCAAAACTAGCATGAGATGTGATAAAATAATCTCACTTGTAATTATTGGCATGCTTTTAAGTGGGAAAAATTGTTTTAAACAACAAAATTTCACCATTCAGTAATACTTAACTGTTACTTTTATTGTAGTACTTATTTAGTGCTCGCTTTGACGCGGGTTCTACAGGTATATTGAAAACCCCGGAAATGTAGTAGAAGGTCTAAATGGGATAAACATTGTTTTAGCATAGCTAACCTATGTTAACCTGGAAATGTTCAACCTTCAACATATTGAAATTGTGAGAAAGTTATGGAGCATCGCATCAACACACATAACAAACAAAATGCGCTCTCGCAGATCCTGCAACAAAATCTCGCCGCCCGGCGTTGCAGTCTCCGCGGGCCGCGGGCCGTCGGACCTGGGGCTAGTTCTAAGTGGTGGCCAACAGGCGGACGAAAATGATGACGCATCTGGAAGAAGTGCCTTTGAACGCTTTACGACGTTATTTCGTGTGTTTAGAAGGCAGTCTGGGTGTATGTTACACTTGTGTGATTTTTAGATTGATAACAAGAACAGATTTATGTTTCCAGCACCGCGAAGTGACGCTAGAGCTGGGAGTAGAACTGGAAGAGTATAGGTAAAACCTTCATTTTTCGTGCTACTGTACCTGTTAACCTACTAAGCAGACAGCCTAAAAGCTGTAAATATGCACGGTGTCTGCCGGATGGTATAACGTGCAGCGGTCAAGTTTCCTGCTTTACGAAAAGCCGCTCAACTTTATGAAAAGTGCAACCCCAGCCATCGCTGTTCTTGCACTAAAGAACGCGAGCGAGCAGAAGGAACACCGGCCAACACCTGCCGGTTTTACGGAAACTGCAACCTCGGCCATTGCTGTCCTTGCTCCTGAGATTGCAAGTGCGCAGCCTCAAAGATGTGCAATGTAATTTGTTTCACTTGTCGAATCTGGAAAAGAATGCACGTCCTCAGACAAGCGTAGGCTGATCGTTTCATTTTTTACCTTATCTTGACCCACGCTATTCAGCACCATGACATACCTTACCCTTTCCGGGCAGGGGACACCGTGAGAAGAACACTAGGGGCCACGTGATCGTTACCCGGCCAAGGACTGAACGACCGTTCCGTTCCAGCGCAAGGTACCTTCCGGCTGTCATTCTGGCGACACGGGGGTGGAATTTGATCTGGTCAACGCGCCCCTATCCCCCTTTCCGCCAGCCCCACTAGGGGCATGCTGCGGCTGATAACCATGAGCCGGCTTACGTGCCATGAGCCAGATAGTGATAGTGCCATGAGCCAGAGCCATGAGCCAGATAGATTACGGCTCATGGTAATCAGTGTCGGAGGTCTCCCACATGGCCACAGCATTGCCCTTTAACTCAATTCAGTCGTCTTAGCTCCGTAGTGGGAATGGAGTGATGTGTGATGGTTGGTAGGACTGTAATCCAAATCCCATCAACCTTTATCTTACAACGCGCCATCGTATGTACTCGGCTAAAAACAGTGTTTTGTAGTCTTCTAAGAGATGGCAGCACCATCTAAAACGGGTGGGAAGTAGGATGCGGGAATATTTCAACTAGAATGCGGCTGCTTTTTTAAGCAAGCGTCATAATGCGACGATGATTTGACGATTCATCAGATGATTGTTTTATCACGTTAAGTTCCTGAAGCTCTTTTAAGGATAAAGGTTTTATTGACTGATCGCATGAAACTAGGCGTTGATTCTAGGATATATCGTACTTGTACTGCTCGCGCGATGTAACGCAGATGTAACCCTTACAATGATTACCATCACTTAGTAAAAGATTAGGTGGTATGTGATAAATTCAAAACGCTGCTTGTGATGGCTGTTGAAAAATAATATTTCTGATCTGTTTTAGAGCAGTGTCGTGATGACGGTTTCCTAGTAGGTTTATTTGGATTTACAGGTGTGACCGTATTCTTGTGAACCAAGTAGCGCGGTGGGGATGGGCTAGTGCCTGGTCCAGTGAGTGGTTGTGTTTGGGTGCACGTTGAAGCGCTGTGATATGGCGGTACTGTGCGTTTCTGACAGACATCCCTGGAAGAGAGGAAGTTGGTGAGCCGATTACTGTGCTGTGGAAGTTGTGAGTCGGCTGAATTGTCAGGTCAAGTGGGAGTCGGTCAAGCCTAGCCCTTGTGCCGCCGCCGCCGTAACCTCCAGTACCAGTGGGTGAGTGTACATGTCACCTCGTCATTTAAATTCCAGCTTGGTATTAGATGAATGATTCTCGCCGTCACTGGTGTGCGCGCCCGGTCAATACCACGCCTGGCGACAAACTGACGGCGTGAACTGGCGGCGGTGCCAAGAAAATGAACCCGTGACGTAACAGTTCGTTGTTCCTTATCCAAGTGTTACACGCTGGCCACTGGGTGAATCATTGAGTTTTGAGGTTGCAGGTGTCGTGTTCAGTGAGTTGCGAGACCTGAGGGTGTTAAGACCTTGGGCGTAGACATTGCTTGACATACATTTATCAACAGTTGTGCTTTTGCTGTGTGATACAAGGAAGCTAAGTAGGTGAACCTGTTGGCTTAGAGACTCATTGGTAAATATGGTGTTTCAGCATGGGCAAGAACCTTCATCACCTTTGCCTCGTCCAGGCTTGCTGCTGACAATGCCAGGAAACAATGCCCTGTCACCAGACTCAGCTCTTGGAGCTGACATATTTGATCACTTCTGCTCGGCTCAAACATTCAAAAGTATCTTGAGCCACTACAGAAGATTATGTGCGGCTTTGAATCTGAAGTCTGGCAAGTTCCCAGTGTTTTATCCTAAGCTTAAGGTAAGCATTGTCATGAGCATTGCAAGCACAACTTGGGAAAAACATTGTAGCAAGTAGTGTGCATCTGCAATTCCATTCTGTCAAATCATTTGATTGTTTGTACTGACTGATGTTAGAAAAATCTGATGTGCTTTACTCTGGGCTCATAGGGAACAATGAGAGGTGACTTTAATTAGTGATGATAAATCATGACGCCCAGTTGCTATGCTACATGCAACATGTATTTGTGTACATATAGGTCAAAGTCATATTGCAGATGTTAGGAGAATAATGGATTACTTTTATTGCAGTCAAAACTCAAGTCCTGGAAAGCTCAGGGACTCTTCTCGAAGTTTGACAAAAGAGCTTCTCACAAGTGCTACAGCAGAGGACTAGCATGTGCCAATACAAAGGTATGTATTAGCTGTAATTACAGCCTTCAAGCTTGGTTTTATTTTATAAGATTGACAGTAATACTTATGTAGGTTAGATGTATGTTCCCATGCTCTCTTTGATGCCATACTTTGCTTTTGTATGCAACCACCTCTCTTAGACATGTCTTGCAGCTCTGTCAGGCTATCTGATTAGTCATGGCAATACAGGCTTCCAAATCTAACCCAAGTGTCAGGGATGTCTATATAAATTTATATTATCAGATTCTGACCCTTCTGTCAGCTCTGCTCTATGTAAGAGGTTTTTCACCTTTAAACCATTACCCTTTAACCTTGAACCCTGACATTTGGGCCTGCCCATCTGATTTTCCCTGGCACCGAGCCCACACACAGGCACTGAGTGGAATGTCATCTAGCTTGAGGCTGATTGGCCATGTATCAGTGAGGAGAGGCGCTACAGGCTGTATGCCCTGAGCTGGGGTTGTAGCACGTAAAAACTTCCACATCCTTGCCACCCGAGTGAATGAATATTGCCACACTTTTGCAGTAGTGACAGCCGCCTTCATGCAATAATACCACTGCCTTCCTACCTAAGCTTTCATTCTTATAATAGCAAAGAATGATTTGTCTGTTTACATGGACAAGATGCAAGATGTAAACATTGAAACAAGTAATTTATGCTTTATCATTTTTCTGATTTTTAATCACTCATGTATTAAAATGGTGCAAGCTGCAAGCATCTATTGTAAACAATGCTCCCAGCCTTTTTCAGCTGATCATCATGTTTGGTTTCAGCAGTGTTGGGCTCCAAATACTTTGATGGCTGGTTGGTGGAATTATGTGCTGTATTTGTGGCACAGTCTTTGTGTGCTGTTCAGCTGCATGTCAACAGTTGGCTGTTATGGAGACCCCTGGAAAACTGGCAAAATGGGCTAGCAGGGTGGGTTAGAGGCATGCAAAGTGAGGTCAGGAGTGGGCACCCAGGCATCCCCTGATCTCAGGTATTTTCCTGATGTGGGATGTAACAGGTGGCTATGGTTGGTAAGTTTGACTGATCTGTTCTGTGATGGTTTATTGGTGTTGCTGGTTTATTTGTGTGTGGGGTTGGTCAGTGCTTGCCACAGATGCTGGTGATGGGTAGGGGGTTGTGCCGTTGTGCTATTTGGTGGCAGCCAGTGTGTACTGCAGGTGGTGGTGTAGGTACTGGTGATCAGTGCCAGGCCACAGCAAGTGTAGACATGTGTATCATGACTGTTGTGGCATGCTGCAGGTGCTGGTGATTGGTGCCGGGCCGTGCGGCCTGCGTGCGGCGATCGAAGCCCAACTTCTGGGAGCGCGTGTGGTCGTGCTGGAGAAACGCGACAGGTTCAGCCGCAACAACGTCCTCCACCTATGGCCCATGGTCATTCACGACCTCAAGGCGCTTGGTGCCAAGAAGTTCTTCGGCAAGTTCTGCGCTGGTGCCATCGACCACATCAGTAAGTAGGCTAGCGAGGCGAGTCCAACTGTCTCCGCTCGCTGTTTTGCTACGTCACGATGGTGGCCGCAATAACATTACGTGGTTTATCTCGGTCGTGATCACCCACAAGGCGAGCAGAATGCTGCGTTCTTGTTCAGAACGTGAGTGTGCTGTTGTTGCGGGTGATAGACTCCGGAAAGCGACCGTCATGGCATAAGACCAGCTCGGGTGAGCGGTCGGCCTGCTGCCGCCAGGAGGGTAAGCCTCTGTCGGCAGCACCCCGTGGACCCCCTCTCGAAAAGCAGGCCATATCCTGGGCGTGTTGCGTTATTAAGGCTTCGGCGTCCGCAGCCGGCGGCACGTGCGCCAATAACCAACCTCCGCAAATACGAGTCACGCGGACCACGTGCTGCAAGCCGTTGCGGTGGCATTTTGCGGCGGCGCGGACGAAAACGTGACGGCTGGGCAGTGGCCGACCAACGGTCACAGCCGGCCGGCCGCGTGGGGTGCCCGCACTCCTTTGTCTCCATCGAGCGTGCGACAAACGAGCGGCGATCACGTCCACTCAGCTCCCCCCCCCCCCCCATATTACGCACCGCGCCCCGGTCCCGCCTCCGCGCCACGAGCCCCACTGTCGGCCGTCCACGCGGGGGCGGCTTGGCGGCGCGCTCGGCCGGCGGCGCCGACAGCGCGGCCCGGCCGGGCACGCGCCGCCGGCGCCGCCGGCGGTCGACGGCCGCTGACGTGCCGGGCCTGCCGGCACGTGAGGCCGGCCGCCCCCGCGCGCTCCCCACCGCCCAGTCTGCATCCCGGCTTCGTCATCGATTTCGGGAGGGACGCCAGGCGCCGGCGGCGGCCCGCGTACGGCTGAAGGGGCGCGAACGGCGCGCGCGTCGCTTCCCGTGCCAATGTAAATGGTCCATATGGATTCGCAGGTGGTTATCAGTAAGCGGCGCTTAGCGTGTCGTCGGCCTTTTAGTCGGCCAAACACGCTATCCGAAGCTACGCTGTCTCCTTTCTGCGACGTGTAAGATGTCCGCGCCGCGGGCCATATTTGGGCAGTGAAATGCGCGTGCAGGCCAGATAGTCGTGGACAGAATGCCCTTGCTGAGTATGTCTAACGCGCGCTGCCATATACGGTGTGTGGGTGGAGGTAGCTTATGTACCTGAACGTGGTTGGTCGCTATCTGGTCGCCGACGGAACACCTTTGTTCAGTATATCTGACGCGCGCTGCCGTATTTGGCGTGTAGGTGGAGAAGTCGTGTGTACCTGACCGCGATCGGTCGCTATCTCGCCGATGGGAGATCTTTGTTGAGTTTCTGTATCATTGGCACTCCGTGACCAAAGAAGTCGGCGCGTCCCAAACCTCATCCCATCATGGTCATGACGCGCGCTGTCATATATGGGGCGTTCCGCACTGGAGGTGGCGTGGGTACCCAGGGGCATACGTATACAGTAGCCCGCGAGGCACTAGCCCCCCCCCCCCCCCCCCCTTCTGAACATATTTATGGTCTGTATTAATATGTGCATGACTAAACGCTGGCAATTAAAAAAATCTGGCAAACACATAGGAGTAAGGACACGTGTTCCCGCCGTCGATCACATGCGGTGTTGCTTTACGACACGCAGGAAAGTTTGCGCGGCTGCGACGTGCTACACTCTTTTTGGTTAAAAAGAGAGTTTTGTCCCGCGCCCACTGTGAACTCCTGTGTGCGCCCCTGCGCGTGCCTGACCGCAGCCGCTCTCTATCTCGTCGCCGAAGCTCGTGAGTGCGAGCCATTGGACTTTGTTCACACGAGGGACTAATTGGGCGTGACGGCAGCCGGTGCCTGCCCGGGCGGCGGCGACGGGCGCGGCCGGGGACACCGGGCTGGACCGCACAGCGTCGCTCGCTCCGGAACGGGGTCGAAGCTGCTAGCGGCAGACGCTGAGTAGTGGCGTCTACCGTCTATACGTATATATATATATATATATATATATATATATATATATATATATATATGCCGTCGTCAGATACGTCCCTGGGAGATGTAAAAGGGGCATGTCCGCGTCAAAACAAGATAAGGCGACGCTCGAAGCACGGCCTAATTAAAAGCGTCGACAAATGTGCGACTGGCGGAATCCTGCCGCTCATTGCACGTTTGGAAGTGTTGCCGTCACGTGGGAGTCGGTGCGGACGCCACAAGTAGGCACAAGACCCTGTCATGGAGGTGACGCGCCGCCGCCGACGGCGTCTGTGGCGAGCGTCAGCCCCGCCGACGGCGTCTGTGGCGAGCGCCAGCCCCGCCGCTCCCGGCGGCCGCGCGTGTCCGGCGCTCCGCCGGCGCGGAAGTGGGCCGCCGCTGGCGTGTCGCCGGCCGGTGCGAACGCTCGGCGCGGCCGGAGCGCCTCCCCCGCCTCGTCCCGGACCGTTAGCGGTGCGCCGCCGCCGCCGCCGCCGGGTCGTCAGGGGCAAGGTCGCGGCCGAGCGCTGGCCGTGACCCGGCGTGCCGCCGCCGCCGCCGCTGCTCGGTCAGGGTCGACGGTATCGAGCGGGGCTGGGCGGGCGCGCGGGGAGGGAGGGGCCGTGCCGGGAGGCGAGGAGGCGCTGAGAACGTGCTTCATCCGGCTGATGCGAATTGCTTGCCGTTGCTCGCTGTTGCACGACTGTGCTAACGCGTTACATGGACGGGTGGCTGGAGCCTAGCCGGATGTTGATGCAGTTCTGGAGGCTCCACCTTTCCCGCCATATGGATCGGAGCCACGTGTGTTGGGCTGCCGTTGATTTATGGGAGATCTCCGTCAGAATATCCCGCCGGGTAGCTGAATTGCATTCTAATTCACATACGCTAACTGATAAACCCATTGAGTTATCGATCCTCCGCGCGCCGCTGATCTATACGCCTGGCTGTTTTCAATTGAGTTCATTCAGCCGATTAACGGCGAATTCACTCTGCTGTGGCAGGGTCCGCAGAGGCGTGATGACGGACGGGTGTGGGGAGAGGAGGGGATGATAGGCTGTGTGGCGTCGCTACCCTCTGTAAGGTGGGAACAGCTGCGCTGCGGCGGGCATATATTTCTCTGTCGCTGCGGCGAACCCTGCCAAGTTCAGCACACGTGACACTGTGTCGCATCCCCAGCATGCCACCGCTGGCCGCTGCAATGCCTCCCGCTCCAGGTGCCCCTCGTGACCTCGTGTCTCCCCTGCGCAGGCATCCGGCAGCTGCAGTGCATCCTGCTGAAGGTGGCGCTCCTGCTGGGGGTCGAGGTGTACGAGAACGTCGGCTACGAGGAGCTGGTGGAGCCGGCGGACGAGCGGACAGGCTGGCGCGCCCGGCTCAGCCCGCCCGAGCACCCGGCCGCCGACTTCCAGTTCGATGTCCTGATCGGCGCCGACGGCAAGAGAAACACGTTCAAATGTGAGTGGCGGCGTGGAGCTGGGCCAGCGCGTGAGGCCCGCCGCGTGCCGCAACTGAGGCCGGCTTCTCCGCTCGAGGCGATCGGTGGTAGGGCGTTGGCAGCTGGCTTGGAAACGTTCCGGGTATGGGAGCTGGGCTGGACTTCAGCAGCTGGTGTGGAGGCGTTCCAGGGACGGGAGCTGGGCTGGACGTCAGCAGCTGGTGTGGAGGCGTTCCGGGGACGGGAGCTGGTCTGGACGTCAGCAGCTGGTTTGGCGGCGTTCCGGGGACGGAAACTGGGCTGGACGTCAGCAGCTCGTCAGCAGCTGGTTTGGGGGCGTTCCAGGGACGGGAGCTGGGCTGGACGTCAGCAGCTGGTTTGGAGGCGTTCCAGGGACGGGAGCTGGGCTGGACGTCAGCAGCTGGTTTGGAGGCGTTCCGGGGACGGGAGCTGGGCTGGACGTCAGCAGCTGGTTTGGGGGCGTTCCGGGGACGGGAGCTGGGCTGGACGTCAGCAGCTGGTTTGGAGGCGTTCCGGGGACGGGAGCTGGGCTGGACGTCAGCAGCTGGTTTGGAGGGTTCCGGGGGCGGGGGCTGGTCTAGACGTCAGCAGCTGGTTTGGAGGCGTTTGGGGACGGGAGCTGGGTTGAACGAAGCGCTGTCGTAACGGCCTGCTCTCGTTTTGACGGTGTTATCGGACGGTTTGGAGTATTGCATGCGTTAAGCCGCCGTGTTTGATTCAGTAATGGACCAGCCGAATGAACACAACTTGCGCGAATCAGTGCATCGCATGGGTCAGATGGGGTCAGGCATCGGCGTTTGACTTAGCATGCAGAAGATGTTTAATGTTTACGTGCCACTTCCCAAGCTCTCCGCCCTAAGTCGGCCTGCAGCCAAGTCCGTTTTTTTGTGCCGGAACAGATTCGGCATGGTACCGGTATCGCATGCGATGTCGTGATATTTCACAAGTCGCTCCCGCGGTCTCGGCTCGAGTAGACCTAATAGACGGCGTCTCGTGTATTTCCCGACCAACTGATGCGCCGGACTATTAGTTGAGTCACTCAGTTTCCGTCGTGAGTCATTCCAGCGACCTGCCAAACTGGTGTTTTAGCGTTGCGGCCCGTCTCTCGGCTCTCAATTAGGCAGCGGGTGGCGGCAGCACGACCCCGCGCCGCCCGTGCCGCCGAAAACCCAAGTAACAACGGCGTCGCTAAAACCCTGGCCCAGTTTTTGCGGCGATCTCGCACGCTTTTCGCCGTCCCGCCGTCGTCGCCCCGTCTGGTGCGCCGCTGCCGTCCGCTGGCGGGGACTGGCCGGGGCCGGTCTGTGCACCTCGTTCGGCGCGCGGTGATGGTGGTGGGGTCGGCCCGCGCCGGGGGCGAGGCGACCCTGGCCCGGGGATCGATATCCGGAGCAGACCGCGCCGCCCGCCTCGTCTGGACGACCCTTCCTGGGCTGGGCTGTTGATAGAGCCGGTGGGAGAGCGAGCTCCAGCCGGAAACAGCCCCCAGCGACTCACCGAAGGGAGAGTAGCGGGCTAAAGGACGGAGCCGGCTGATCATGGTGGTGTTGCTTGGTGCTCAGTTGGGACATCGAACTTCTCGTCATAGATTATTTCGGCTCGTCACAGTTTGAACATTGATAGTATTTAGGCATTCGCGTTTTTGGCATTGATTAGCATTCCCGGCGGCTCGCTGCCTTTGAAGCCTGTGATTTATGCTGATCGGCAGTTCAACTTTGTTCCAGCGGTAGACCGCGTTACACAGGTAGAATTTGTCTTCTGAAAATGGGTATATTTTCATTGTGTTGTGCCTTGCCCGGGGTCTAGCGGGTTAAGCTGTTGTTGATTACTCTAATCACACCACTGTGTGGATGCATCGCCATGTGTGGTGGGAAAGTTGCTGCATCAAGCTTTTTGACAGCGGTGCGATGCGTGTATCTTGTATAAATCTTGGCACTACCACCTCGTGAATTAACCAGAGTCGTCGTTGGATGGCCAGCCAACAATCCCCATGTCACTACAACGTTACCACTGCAGTGAACGCGACCCCAAACACCAACAACACCAGATAACTACCCATCAGAAGCCGAGGCTTGGACCTGAGAGCACTGCGCGCGGCCACGCCGCAAACCGTCCGTCTGCTCTGTGGTCTGTGGTCTGTGTATGAGTCTGATGTGTGGCCCTGACGCCCCTGCCGCGCGGCCTGACGTCAGACCGTCCGTCTCTCCCGTGGTCTGTGGTCTTTGGTCTGTGGTCTTTGGTCTGTGTATGAGACCCCCTGACGTGTAGCCCTGACGCCCCTGCCGCGCGCCGCCGCAGGCTTTCGGCGCAAAGAGTTCCGCGGGAAGCTGGCCATCGCCATCACGGCGAACTTCGTGAACCGGCACACGGAGGCTGAGGCGCGCGTCGACGAGATCTCCGGCGTCGCCTTCATCTTCAACCAGAAGTTCTTCAAGGACCTGTACGCCGCCACCGGCATCGACCTGGAGAACATCGTCTACTACAAGGACGAGACGCACTACTTCGTCATGACGGCCAAGAAACAGAGCCTGCTGGCCAAGGGCGTCATCGTGGAGGTGAGTGCAACGCGCTGCCGGCCCGGCTGTGGCGTTACGGTGGTTTGTTTGTGGTTTGGTGTAGGAGTCGGGCTGAGTTCATGGCTACGTTGGGCGCCATTTTGGAGAGGTAACTGAGGGTTCTTTGTCCCATATTTATTTGGAGTGGGGATGCATGTTCAGTGGTCACCTCTTCCGTATGTGTGTGTGAGAGAGTATGGTCTGAGAGGTGGTTTCCTCTAGCGACAGAAGAGTTGCGTCAGGTTGCGGGCCCGGGCTGCCGGTATGTCAGCCTTGCGCTGTGGCCTCGCAGCACAGATAACGGGCCGTGCCAGCCGGACATGGGCAGCGCCGGCCGTGTGTACACTGCGGCCGGCGGTCGGAATGAAGGGTTGAATCAGCGGCAGGTGACGCGCCCGTCCTGGCAACGGGAGACAGGCCAGGTGGCGGCGCCGCACGTTACCCGTCACTCCCCCGGCGCGATTATTGGTGCCGCGCTGCGTCGTGCCGGCACCTCACGGCGCTGCAACGCTGCAGCGCGATCACAACGTCGCGTCTGTGCCTTACGCCTGCCCGTCGGCACCACATGGGGCCGTACTGATGCCGCGCGTCAACGTTCAGATGCAGCTCTCGGCCGCGCCGATACACCGCAGCGGCGTGTCAACACGACTGGGCGCCGGTGCCGCCCGGTGCGGCGCGGCGTGTTTGCGTTGGCCCGGCTGGCCGGCGAGCAGTGTCCGCCGGCCGGCGCCGTCCGGACCGCCGCTCGGACGGCTATAGTTTCAGAGCGGCCGCCGTGCCCGGCTGTGTTATCAGCTGTCGCCGCAGCGGCACGCGTGCGCGTGTGCGCGGCTGGTGACGCACGGAAGCAGAGACCGGCCGGGGTCGGGTGGGTCGGGTGCTGGCCGGACCGAGGTCGGATGCTGGCCGGCCGGGGTCGCGTGCTGGCCGGCCGGGTCGTATGCTGGCCGGCCGGGAGCGGGTGCTGGCCGGGTAGGGGTTGGGTGCTGGCCGGCCGGGATCGGATGCTGGTCGGCCGGGGTCGGATGCTGGCCGATCGGGGTCGGGTGCTGGCTGGCCGGGGTCGGGTGCTGGCCGGCCGGGTCGTATGCTGGCCGGCCGGGAGCGGGTGCTGGCCGGGTAGGGGTTGGGTGCTGGCCAGCCGGGAGCGGGTGCTGGCCGGCCGGGAGCCGATGCTGGCCGGTCGGGAGCCGATGCTGGCCGGACGGGGGCGGGTGCTGGCCGGCCGGGAGCGGATGCTGGCCGGCCGGGAGCGGGTGCTGGTCAGCCGGGAGCGGGTGCTGGCCGAACGGGAGCGGATACTGGCCGGCCGGGGTCGGGTGCTGGCCGGACTGGATCACCGGCTCGCGTCCCTCTGTCGGCCAGTGACGGGCCCGGGCCCCCCTGATCGCCGCCGGCCTGGCAGCGCGCCGCCCACGTCACGGCCGCGGGCCGTGACGTGAGGCCCGGGCGGAGAGGGTATTTTTAGACGCGGGACATGATAAGGGAGTGCGTTTCCGTCCGGCTTCTGCTTGGGGTTGATTTGTCGGGTTTCTAAACCCGGTTAGTCCAGGGTCCAGGTTGTATTCGGATGAAGTCAACTCTTTTGTGAGGAGGCTCAAAGTCATTAGGAACGAGCACGAATGAAACAGTTACGCGCTAGAACACTTGGTGCACCCTTGTCGATGTGCTCCTTTTTCCTTTCGCTTTTTACCATTCCACATCTTAATGGGCTTTCCTGTTTTATCGGGACACCTAATCCTGCTCTCACACAATCTAGCTATGCCTGCCAGCTCATCATTTCGTCATTGTCAATGAATCCGTGCCCTAAACTTGGAAGACTGATGGCGTTCGGCCGGAGAAATTTCTGGGCTGCTGACCTCATGATATCGGATGCTTTCGATGCGCTCAGTGCCCCCACCCTCCCCCTCTCGTCGCCACCACCATAGCCGGTGCCGTTTGCCACGCTATCCCTTTAGTTACACCCAGTTGACGTGACTTCATTCCTAAGGACACGTGACCTTTCCGGCATTCTGAGGCCTCTGACACTTGACATCCCTTCCCTATGATATCGAACCAGTGCACCGAACCGTATAACTAGCGAACCGCTGGGTCTTCTAACTATCGGACCCTTGCATCATCAAACCTTTATGTCGTCGACCTCCCCGCTCCGCAACACCCTCGTCCAATGGAGCCCTCGGTTCTCGTTTCACCGGCCGCCACCGCTCCGCCGGCAGGACTTCGTGGACACGAACCGGCTGTTGTCGCCGGACAACGTGAACAGGGAGAAGCTGATGCAGTACGCGCGCGAGGCGGCCGACTTCTCCACCGACCACCGGCTGCCGCAGCTGCCGTTCGCGCTCAACCACTACGGCCGCGAAGACGTGGCCATGTTCGACTTCACCTGCATGTATGCCTCGCTGAACGCCGGCAAGGTGATCGAGCGGTGCGGCCACAGGCTGTTGCTGCAGCTGGTCGGCGACAGCCTGCACGAGGTGAGCGACGCGGCAGGTGGCGCTGAGAGGCGCCGCTTCATCAGCTGCTGCTGTGCTGGATTGTTGACCCGTTTTTGTGTGTTTGTAGACATCAGTTTGACTATTGGCGAGTACGGCCCACAATGTTGACTGGCACTGGTTTGGTTAAAAGGGATAGGCCTTCGTTAGAAACGGATTGTCGTATTGGGACTTGAAGTGTCGCGTAATTTCTCAACTAATGTATCCCATAGCACATGTGTTCGAAGCCGGCTGGTAGGTTGTTTGAAAACCACCACCCAGCGTCCATGGATGCGCCTGAAGTCCGTGTGACAATCTCTCCTCCTCCTCTGGGCAGCCGTTCTGGCCGACGGGCAGTGGCTGCGCGCGCGGCTTCCTGTCCTGCTTCGACGCGGCCTGGCAGATGCGTGCCTGGGCTAACCCGCGCGTCACGACGCTCGAGTGTCTGGCCGAGCGCGAGTCCATCTACCGGCAGCTGGCGCAGACGACGCCGCGCAACCTCAGCTGCGAGTACGGCGGCTACACCCTCGACCCGCGCACCAGGTTAGCACCGGGCTCGACCGGCGGGGGCAGGGGTCAGGGACGGAACGGGCCGGACTGGCGGGGCGTGTCAGGGACGGGACGGGCTGGACCGGCGGGGGCGAGTCAGGGACGGGACGGGACGGGACGGGCCGGACCGGCGGGCGGGTCAGGGACGGAACGGGCCGGACGGGCGGGGCGTGTCAGGGACGGGACGGGCCGGACCGGCGGGGGCGGGTCAGGGACGGGACGGGACGGGCCGGACCGGCGGGCGGGTCAGGGACGGAACGGGCCGGACGGGCGGGGCGCGTCAGGGACGGACCGGGCCGGACCGGTGGGGGCGGGTCAGGGACGAGACGGAACGGGCCGGACCGGCGGGGCGTGTCAGGGACGGGCCGGGCCGGACCGGACCGGGCCGGGCCCGACCGGCGGGGGCGGGGGTCAGGGACGGGACGGGCCGGACCGGCGGGCGGGTCAGGGACGGGACGGGCCGGACTGTCGGGGCGTGTCAGGGACGGGCCGGACCGGACCGGACCGGGCCCGACTGGCGGGGGCGGGTCAGGAGCGACCTGGGTTGGGACCTGCAGTAAGAGTAGCAGTAGACCTGGTTCTCCGACAAGGGGAGAATGGGGTGTTGGTCGGGTAAATGTGGGATCGTTAAAGTTCAAGAAGGAGGGACTGTGCAGCAAGTTTTGCTGGTGTGCAATTGACTTCGCCAAACTCAACGAGGCCTGCTTGGTATCACCACGGTTTTGCTTAATGTAATGGTGTTGCTGAACATCCTGCGGCTGATCACCGATCGTGCATCCACATCAGTCGGCATCACCAGCCTGTCCGCCACCGCTAGTGCCATACGCCACAGTCCGAGTCCCGCCTCACGTGTCGCCTTTATCTTACGGCACCCACCCATGCCCCCAGATGCTCGAACCTCTACCTGAGGTCATTGACGGGTCGCTGACGTCAGCGTGCCACCCCTCCCCCTCCCCCCCCCCCATCGTCGGGCGCACCAGCCTGCAGTGTGCAGCGCTGCTCTAACCTCACGCCGTCGGGGCCGGCCAGGTACCCGAATCTGAACCGGACGTCGGTGAGCCCGTACCAGGTGTGCGCGCTGGTCGACACCGACTGCCCGGAGGCGCTGCAGCAGCAGCTGACGGTCGCCGACGAGGACGGTGGCGGCCGGCCGGCCAAGAAGCGTCGCAAGGAACCCATCCACCCGGACATGCTGCTTAAGTGGTGCCAGAAGCAGCTGGCGCTCACCGACATCCGCGTCACCGACCTCACCGGCGACTTCAAGTCAGGTGGGTGGCGGCGTCAACCGCTGCGAGAAACCGTGCTGTGAGGGCCGGCAGACGGGCTGTTAGCGAGGAGCCGTACTGTGGGGGCCGGCAGACGGGCTGTTAGCGAGGAGCCGTACTGTAGGGGCCGGCAGACGGGCTGTTAGCGAGGAGCCGTACTGTGGGGGCCGGCAGACGGGCTGTTAGCGAGGAGCCGTACTGTAGGGGCCGGCAGACGGGCTGTTAGCGAGGAGCCGTACTGTGGGGGCAGGCAGACGGGCTGTTAGCGAGGAGCCGTACTGTGGGGGCCGGCAGACGGGCTGTTAGCGAGGAGCCGTACTGTAGGGGCCGGCAGACGGGCTGTTAGCGAGGAGCCGTACTGTAGGGGCCGGCAGACGGGCTGTTAGCGAGGAGCCGTACTGTAGGGGCCGGCAGACGGGCTGTTAGCGAGGAGCCGTACTGTAGGGGCCGGCAGACGGGCTGTTAGCGAGGAGCCGTACTGTAGGGGCAGGCAGACGGGCTGTTAGCGAGGAGCCGTACTGTGGGGGCCGGCAGACGGGCTGTTAGCGAGGAGCCGTACTGTAGGGGCCGGCAGACGGGCTGTTAGCGAGGAGCCGTACTGTGGGGGCCGGCAGACGGGCTGTTAGCGAGGAGCCGTACTGTAGGGGCCGGCAGACGGGCTGTTAGCGAGGAGCCGTACTGTGGGGGCCGGCAGACGGGCTGTTAGCGTGGAGCCGTACTGTAGGGGCCGGCAGACGGGCTGTTAGCGAGGAGCCGTACTGTAGGGGCCGGCAGACGGGCTGTTAGCGAGGAGCCGTACTGTAGGGGCCGGCAGACGGGCTGTTAGCGAGGAGCCGTACTGTAGGGGCCGGCAGACGGGCTGTTAGCGAGGAGCCGTACTGTGAGGGCCGGCAGACGGGCGCGGATGTGTGGTGTGGCTGTAGGACTTGCTGGTCAGCTGTGGGCATTTGCGCAGTAGCTCATCAGCTTTGAGTGGACAATGTTGCGTACGACAACTGTTAAATGCATGCATACTCTTCTTAATACCGTGTGCTCGTTTACACCGTGACGGTTTGCCCTCTTGTTCTCTTACATTGCATTCACGCCTACACGTGCACTGGCAATTTTCTCCTCTTTGCTTGTGTACTCAGTGTAGCCAGCTGTTTACGGCACACTAGATTTAAGACCGTCATGCTGACCAGCAGCATCACTGCTCGCGACATCGTCGTCTTCACCATCGCTGCCAGCAGCTGCAGCATCACGGCCGTCGCCGCCGTTGCAGGGCTGGCGCTGTGCGGCATCCTGCACAAGTACCGGCCGGACCTGCTGGAGCTGTCGGCGCTGAGGCCGGACGACCCGCTGGCCAACAACCAGCTGGCCTTCGAGCTGCTGGAGCGCGAGCTGGGCGTGCCGCCGGTGATGAGCGCCCAGCAGATGGCCGCCTGCAGCACGCCCGACCGGCTGGCCATGCTCAGCTATCTCAGCCAGGTGTACGACGCGCTGCACGGCGAGATCCCCTACGTCAAGCCCAAGATCGCCGTGAGTGGGCGCGGGCGCGGGCGCCGGAGGGCGTTCGGCGCGGTGCTGCGGTCCAAGAGAGATCTGGGTCGGACGACGGTGGAGTGAGGGCTGACGAGCTGTTAGACGGTGTGTGGTTCAAGGAGTCCGTTCACGTGCGGAATGTGGAGCCTGCGTCAGATGCTACCCGCGGGGTCCTCTCGGACTCCGTCGTCATTGTTCTGTGCGTGAATTTGGAGACGGCAAATGTACGGAGACGACAAATGCAAATGTACGGCACATGTATGTGGCTTATTAACATTTTTGTCATTTTCGGCGATAGTTGTGATGACCAAGGTTTGTTACCGCACTCATTATCCAGTATTTCGTTCGTATCGCGTTGTTTCGGCGATGGCGGCCCACTATCGCCCTATCGCTGTGGTCTCTGTGTGCGTGCCTCATGCCTCACTGCCGGCCGTGTGATGCTGACGGCGCCCGCTCGCCGTCAGGAGCTGCTGCGGGACGAGCCAGAGTCGGGCCGGCGCTCCTCGGCCGGCCGCACCATCCCCGACGGCCGGCGCAGCTCCCTCAGCGAGAACCACCGCAAGCAGCGCAAACGCAAGAGCGACGCCGTCAAGGACAAGGTACGTCCGCTGGTGGCGCCGGTGCCGATGCGGGCGGCCGCGTGTATCCGCAGGGGTTCGGTTGGAGGTGGCGCTCGCTGTGGGCCGTACAATGATATGAAAGAGGCTAGCACCGCGTGAAGCCGCCGTCGCCGCTGCCTCGGCTGCGGCTGGATCACGAGGGATGTGGGACGTCCCACTCTGCTGGCGCTGAGGCTCCGGGGACCGGTGTCTGAATGGTGATGCCGCCGTGAGTCACCTCGCCGGTGGAGTTCGTTGGCCAGCTCGGGCCGCGTTTCGTCACAGTCGGCTGCTGTCGCCGCCTGACTGACGGCTTTGACGGGCCTGGTTCTGTGCTCCGTGACCTTGCTGGTCGATCGCTCCCGAACCCTTTCCTTCGTGACCGGCCATCGATCGCGTCGCCGACCTTCGGCGACTAACCGGACGTTACGCGGTCCTTTGACGACCGCTCCACCGGTCCGGCCCTGCCCGATGCGGCCGCGGTCGCCCGACGCCCCGTCCCCGTCCCCGTCTGTCGCGCGCGCGCGCGCGGTCGGGCCCGCTAACCGCCGGCCGCCGGCAGCCGAGCCGCGAGCACGACCCGTTCGCGCCGCCGCCGGTCGGCCCGCTCGACCCGCAAAAGATCGCGCTGGTGGCGGCCGCCTTCGGCGACGGCGACGGTCGCCGCTCCGTCTCCGAGGAGGACTCGGAGGGGGCCGACGAGGACGGCGAGAGGATGGCGGCTGGGCGGCTGCCGGTGGGCGCGCTGGACGCGCGGCTGGCGGCGCTGGAGGCGGCCTGCGCGGCGCGACCGCGCGAGCGCCTCCAGATCCGCCAGCAGCGGCGCCAGCTGCGCTCGCTGGCGCAGCGCAAGGCCGAGCTCGAGGCGACGCTGATGGAGCGGAACGCGCGCGCTGCCGCCGGCGCCGCCTCGCCGGAGGACGACGTCAGTCTGCACCTGTACCGGCGCACGGCCGCCGACTTCGAGCAGCGCCGCCTCCGCCTCGAGGACATGGTGTTCAATCCTGTGAGCGGCGCGCGCCGAGCCGCGTGGGAGGTCTGCAGTGACACTAATGCCCGCCCGTCCGCCTGCCTGCCTGCTGCCGGCCTGCCGACCCGGGACGCGACGGGAGCCGGCGTCGCTGTAGCGGCCATCTGCCCGACGGAACCGACGCCGCTCCTGCCAGCTGCCGCTGCTCACGTTTTGCGCGCGTGTGGTGTGTTTTTGACTGTTTTTTGACGGGTTCTTGGCCGTGTTTGGTATGGTGTGACCTTTAACCTACCGGCGAGAACCGCCGGAAATAACGCTAACCTTGTTTTGACTTAGTTTTTGTATTGCCTTTGTTTTCGTCCGTTTTAGCACTAATACCCGTGACCTGTTTGCAGTGACACTACTCTTTGTGTTGTTTGTTCGGTTTTTGGGTGCTGTTATTCTGCTGTGGTGGACAAGGTCACGACGTCTGCGGTCCTCTGCCGAGTAAGCAGGTGGCTCGTTGCCCATAGGTGAAGCTTCGATAAGACGTGGCCGTTTGATATCGGGCTGTTCAAACCAGTACGCCGTTGCGTATCGACGTGACACGGGTTTGGGTAGTTAATGGCACCGTTCCATCGACAGGGTCGTGTCATACAGGACCTCAAGAAGGACATCAAGCAAGCGGCCGGTCCTGAGCTCACCAAGAAGGAGGAGTTCGCCACCAAGATTAAGGATCTGGAGGCCAAGTTTAAGGGCCAGTACCAGCCGCCTGACAAAAAGCCCAAGGTATGTCAGTGAGTCAGTGCTCTCCTGGCTGGCTCCCATGATTACGTAGTTGTTTTTAAACTACGTGTGCTGTTAACGTGGGCGGGTGGGTAGCGAGCCAAGGGCCTTGCCCGACATTTTAGATGGCTGTTCTTTTAACTCCAAGCACGCGTCGTACTCCGGATATGTTGAAATTGTTCACGGTTGCTCACGAGTTATGACCTGTTACGAAGCCCCCTCCGCGGCTCGCGGGGCTTGTTGCCAGATGGGGTCCTCATATCCCACAAGCGCGGAGACGGTGTGCTGCTAGCGCGTTGATTGCGGGCTGGCATATGTTTGTAAGAAGTGGAATCGCCGCTTTTATTTCTGCTCGTGTTTGATATCGCCGGCCGTTTGTGTCCCGGCATTGCCGACGAAGAACTGAGGCTACTGTGTTCCATTTCGGCCTCCTCGAAAGAGAGTGTCGTCGCACATTTGTCAGCTGTGAGGGAGGTGCTCGGCGGCTCCCACTAGCGCGGCCGCGACATGTCCGCTGTGAGGGAGGTGCGCAGTGACTCCCACCAGCGCGGCCGGGACATGTCCGCTGTGAGGGAGGTGCTCGGTGGCTCCCACCAGCGCGGCCGCGACATGTTAGCTGTGAGGGAGGGGCTCGGTGACCCCCACCAGCGTGGCGGGGATATGTCCGCTGTGAGGGAGGGGCTCGGTGACCCCCACCAGCGTGGCGGGGATATGTCCGCTGTGAGGGAGGGGCTCGGTGACTCCCACCAGCGTGGCGGGGATATGTCCGCTGTGAGGGAGGGGCTCGGTGACCCCCACCAGCGCGGCCGCGACATGTCCGTTGTGAGGGAGGTGCTCGGTGACTCCCACCAGCGCGGCCGGGATATGTCGGCTGTGAAGGAGGTGCTCGGTGGCTCCCACCAGCGCAGCCGCGACATGTCCGCTGTGGGGGAGGTGCGCAGCGACTCCCACCAGCGCGACCGCGACGTGTCAGCTGTGAGGGAGGTGCGCAGTGACTCCCACCAGCGCGGCCGCGACATGTCCGTTGTGAGGGAGGTGCTCGGTGACTCCCACCAGCGCGGCCGGGATATGTCCGCTGTGAGGGAGGTGCTCGGTGACTCCCACCAGCGCGGCCGGGATATGTCCGCTGTGAGGGAGGTGCACAGTGACTCCCACCAGCGTGGCGGGGACGTGCCAGCCACTGTGCTGCCCACGCACCACGCCACCTCCCTGCGATGTCCTCAAGTGCAGCTTAACTCGTGTCCCCATCTAACAGCGCCCAGCGCCATCGCACGATCTCGCTCCACTTACGTCTCGGGGCCGCGTTGTCCATCACATCTCCAGCCCGGGCCTTCAGCCCTTGTCCGGCTGGCGCGCGCGCCGCCATGCCCACGCCCGGCTCCCCTGACGCGAGGCGCCCCGGCAGGACTTGTCACGCGCCATCGGCCGCATCGAGAAAACCGACTGGAACCTGCAGCAGATCGAGAAGAAGATCGAGGACAGCAAGCGCGTGCACGTGAACCGCGACCGCGACCAGACCGTGCCCATGTGGAGCAAGGACATGTTCGATGACAAGGTGGGTGTCCCAGCGCCGGCCGCGACGCGTCACAGCGGGCGGACGTGACCCCACGGAGGGCGGGACTGGGGGAGGAGAGGGGGGGAGGGGGGGGGGGCGTGGACGGGTTGTTGTTCACTCGTTGCCAGACGGGTATCAGGCCGCGACATTGGCTTCGATTGGTGGCCAAATTGGCGACGCTGCGCCGTCTGACCCTGCCAGCGCGAGATGGCCCCGGGGCGACAGCACGCCACCGGACTCGGGCCGCGTCAGTGGCGCCCAGCCAAGAATGCGGCCGAGCCCGGTCCCGGGGTGGGGGTTTCTCTCTGCATCGCTGGTCATGCTGTGTGTCCGTGTATGGCTGACAAGCCCGGCCGGGCCGCGGCCGGCGTGCACTGCCGTCCGACGCGTGGCATGGCAGTTGGTGCACCGCCGCTGACGGCGTCACCCTAGGCTGGCTGGCTGCCGCTGCTGTCCATCCGTGTGTGTGTGTCGTCGTTGGCATGGCTGGCTGCTCGCCGTGCGGCGTGTCCCCCGACGCGCGACACGTTCAGACGCCGCCCCCCCCCCCCCCCCGGGCAGGCACCGACGGCCTGGGGGCTTGCGTTCGGCCAGTCACTGACCGCGTGTTCAGGAAGTCACCAATCAATGGTCTTTCCATATAAAGTTGGTCATCAACCTCGAAGTCCTGTTAGGACGTCTTCGGATCACCAGCCCGCGCGTGCAGTCACTAGTCTTCGACTCAAACCATAAACTGTGATAGCGTCCTAAGTTGTAAGAGACCTTTTTTAAGTAAGTGCACAATCTCTTCTACTCGCACGTTATCTTTTTACATGTCGACAATCTGCTTTCCGAAGGGAACTTGGAGTGGGAATATTAAGTCAAACAAGACAAACAAGGCGAAGGAAATATAACGGAAGCGGTCACCGCTTTAAATTTGCTTATGGCATGCGAGCAACGTTAATATCTGTATACCTCTCGACGTACGTCAGGTGTACGAGCACTTCTCTGAAATGAGTCGCTGCGTTTCAAAACAGCTGTTTCTTCTCCCTGTCCTCGCTCGGGTTCCCGGGACCGGCGCGGTGACTGCCCGTGGCGGGGTGGGGCGGCGGCGTCGGCGCGAGCCTGCCGCGCCTCTAGCGCCCCCTGTGCCGGCCGGCCGACAGTACCAGGCCATGCGCAACTTGTCGGAGCGCGGCACGGTGGCGCCCGAGACGCTGCGCAAGTACGCCGACATCGACCAGCACCTGCGCCGACTGGAGCTCAAGCTGCGCGAGGGCACCACGCGCGACGTGGGCCAGCGCGGCTCCAACCGCGTCTCACAGATGGCGCAGCAGTTCCTGGCGCGTGACCGGCTGCCGCTGGAGAAGGTATGCCGCCGGCTGGCGGCCGCCGCGCGCCGCCTGCCCGCCCGCCTCGTCGCATGCGCATGCTACGCCCTGGCACTCGTCGGCTTCTGGCTCGTCTGCTACGACACGTTCCGCGCGCGCTAGAGGCGATGGAGGTGGCGCCGGAGGCATCTGTGTATTCGAAGCGGTCAAGGGGTGTGGCAGGATGGCATGTTCTCTTGCTCTCGATGAATAACATGTTAAGGTAGCATGCGGTGTTGGTGGTGGAATGCTTAGTCAGATCTGCCTGAGTTGCCACGGTGACAGGTAGAGTTCGTTGGCTCCCTGCACGTTGGTGTTGTTCAGTTTTGCATGATAATGCTCTCTGTCCTGTTTGTTACCGCCAGTATCTATGCTCAGGGAGATATGGTGTGCGTTGCCGTATTCAAAACCTTAAAGTGATAAAAAAGTGATATTTATGACCATGACGGGTTATGATCATGATATTTTATAATTTATCATGCTCTTTTTCCTTTTAACGGGTAACCACACGAATGGCATCACCTCACGGTTCTTTTATGGTCGTTAACATTATCGACCTTGTGGAGCATTAGAGCGACTCACGGCAATTGATATCGCCAAAGCGCCCGTAGGAGATGGATGGAGCCGCACCGTCTCTCTGTCTCCGACCAATGTATGATCTTAGCCTGCGTTCTCTTGTAAATCAGGACGGTGACGTATGACTTTGTACGTGTTCTGCAACAATAAGGCCATGTTCTGACGCTCTGGTGCGGTATGGAACACTTGTGCAGTTTGCTGCAATTTCACTGACGATATGGTTTGCGGGGTATTACTCATGGCAAAACATCCAACTTTCATGAGTAATACTTACACCGCTGCCATAGCTTCGTCTTTTCGTATATTTGCTTGTGTTCTGCTTACCTGTGCCTACCTTATTCATATTAATAAAGCTTCTGTTGTTGGTTGCGGCTTGCATGAAACAGCTACCCGCACTGAGCCAGCACGCTTACAGCAGCACGGCTGACCCTCGGTTTCGGGAGCAGTGACAAAGCAAGGGGGGGGGGGGGGGCTCAGGGAACTTACAGGGACTAATATTTTCTCGTTTGCTGTTTTTGACGTTTCTTACCGTCCAGTGGTTGTTTATTAGTGCTTATTTTGCGTTTTGAACTATAATTCATAAAGTTCTGATGTCTACTATGTCTCCTTTATAAGTGATAAAAAGGGTTTTGCATAAGATCGCAAAAAAGATCGTAGATTGTTATTTTGTCCATCCCTAAACCTCTTCCCCGCGGCGTTTAGGGCGTTTATGGAGATATGCAGACGAACAGTGGCATGTGACAAAAATGCAGACATCAGATGGCATTGTCATCGCTTGCCTATTTGGAACAATATTCGTGGGTATTGGATGACGTCTTATTGGTAGCGGTATTGGTTTTTGTTACAAATATGTTAGATGAAAAAATCATCGAGATTGGATAACGTTGACTTAGATAAAAGTTTGACTTATATGGGTACTGACGATTATGTAAGTTGGTAGCAGCGACTTGCCCGGTTGTTGATACGATGAAAGTGTTATATGTAAAATATTTTATTATCTCAAAACGCCGAATGGTGTCACCGCCTAAACAGCAGGGGAGACTTGAGCCCAACGTAGGGCGCGCCGAGGTCAGCTGGAATCTTGCAGCTGAGCACACGCATTTAGCAATAACAGGTGAGACTTGAGCCTCACGTAGGGCGCGCCGAGGTCAGCTCGAATCTTGCGGCTGAACATACGCATTTAGCAATAGAGTCGGCCTTCAGTAGGTTGTTTGTTAAATGTTTTAGTGTCATGACTTGACCCGGTCTGCCGCTCTGGCACGGGTATCGGCCGACCTTACTGCTTCAACGCACGCGAGCCTTCTGTCCAACACAATGCAGGGTCGAGTGGCATGACTCATAATGTCGTGAATGGGCCTAATCCTCCAGCGAACACCCCGCGGAATAATGCATTGCTGCGAGACCCGCGGAATACGGCGGTGTAATAAATTGTTACGAGGTCGCGTGCGCCGGGCTAGTTCACGAACCGCCGGCTGGGTGTGGTGGGTGAAAGTGACGTGATTACAGTCGTAAACCTGAGATTGCTTTTGGGTATTTTCAGGTTAATGAAAACCATTCAAAACAGCCTCTCGTGCAAACGCGCCAGTATTCGATTAAGATCAGAGCGCAGTGGGAGAGCCCGAAAGCCCTGGTCGAGCCCCTTGTGGGGTCCCCGGTCACTGCAGAACTGCCTGCGGTTGGGACGCGTGCACTATCGAGTCAGCTCAGAGGCGAAACAGTCGCCGTTACATCGACTGACATACAACCACCACAGGAAAGCGGGGACCGACGGGCGCTGCCTGCCTTCCCCATGGTCACCGCCCTACCGTTCAGACACAGCCACACGGGCCGACTGTCCGACGTCTTCCCATGTGGCCCTCCCAGGTCACTGCGGGCCAAGCTAGCGTGCACGGGGCCTCGCGCACGCGCGCGCGGCTGCGCCAGCCGGGGCTTGGGGGTTGACTGGCGCGCGGTCTGGAGCGCTCCCCCCGCGCACGCGGTAGCCTTATTGGGACTGGCCAGCCGTCAGCTCCCATTGGCCAAGACAGCGATAAGGCGCCGCAGGGCGGGCTGCTCGAGTGGCCTCTCGGCGGTCCGCTATCAGGCGAGGCGACCGGCTTTGTTTAGAGTGTGCCGGCCGCGCCGCGCTAATCCCGACAAGGACATGATGCATGCGCGCTGAGATCGCCTGAGAAGTGGTATGTAGGGAGGGCGGGGGGGAGGGGGGGAGTTGATAGCGACGCCATTATGTGTGAGAAGCCCGCACGCATACCCGCACCCCACCGTCACTTTGCGGTGTGCACAACTGTATGTGATTGCTTTTGACTGAGCCTGACACCACTTATACCATCTCTGCGTCTTTCGAGTGACCAGAGTCACTGTGGGAGATATTGACGGTTTGTTGCATGCGATGGAGAAGATGTGACGCTTCTGGCGGCCGCCGAGTCGCGGGTGTATGCCTTAGTAGTCCGCCGCGACCTGTTATTAACGAACTGACTTTCCGTGCTGCGATGTGGCAGAGCATTGCCGAGGTGCGTTTGTTCACGTACGTGTGTGCGATTTCGCTGTATATATGCCCCCAGCTGCGAGGCTTTATAGTGCTTCGGCTGCTCGGCAATCATCAGTGTGACGCATGATCAGCCGTGCGATGGCGTTAGACTACCACGTACCGCGGCAGCACGTGTGGACTAGCTCGTAGCGCTGGGAACGCCAACCACCTGTATTCCCTTGTGCTGTGTGTGTGTGCATGCTGGCATCCGTTTCAGCCGTTTCAGCCGCTTTAGCCGGCGGGCTCTACGCCTTTGGTCAGACGCCGCAGGTAGTCGTAACGCGCGTCCGCTAACCCGCCCCCCTCCCCGCGACGCCGCCAGGAGAAGACGGACGCCGGCGCGACGGAGGCCTGCCACTTCTGCGGCGAGCGCGTCTACCTGGTGGAGCGTATGTCGGCAGAGGCCAAGTTCTTCCACCACAACTGCTTCCGCTGCGAGTACTGCGGCGCCGTGCTCAAGATGAGTGAGTGGCTGCACCGACCGGTGACCTCTGGGTGGAGACCCGCCCCTCACGCGTGATGGCCTTCGCCTCCGACGGTGTCCTGACCACACGCGCTGGTGGCCGGCGGCGCGAGAGTCGATCGGGCTCCGTCTCCCACCTGTTAAGATGGTTACGTTGTGCCCAGAGCCGGCGCGGTGGGAGGTCTGTGTATCCCGGCAGGCCTGAGGTGGAGCGCGGAGGCTGATGTCGGTCTCGTGTCGGCCGGCGCTGCCGTGCGGCGTCCTGTGTGGTGTCTCGTGTATGGTGTGTCTTATGCACCCCGTGCTCCTCCCATGTCGTGTGCTTCATGCGCGTTGTGTGACGCCGTTTATATATATATATATATATATATATATATATATATATATATATATATATATATATATATATATACAGTGTGTGTGTGTATCAAATACCTACCTTGCTGCTGAAAGGTAAAAAGGCCGTAGTGCCATTTTATCTGGTGGTTCTTAAGCGTTTTTGCCTTTGGACGGCAGTCTTGTCTCATGTCCTGCGTGAGACAGGAGGGAAATAAGACATCAGTACCGCGTGCCCCATGTCTTGTCGCTCGTCCTTTTTCCATCGAGTCTTCTGTCACATGTTTCACGATCCATATCGTGTGGCCCGTGTCCCGCGCTACTTATCACCTGTCCCGCGTCCCTCGTCCCGCGTCTGTTGTCCCGCGTCTCTTGTCCCGCCTCCCGCGTTTGTTGTCCCGTGTCCCGTATCCTGTGTGCCGTGTGCCGGGACGGCCGCCGCCCCGTCTGACCGGCCCGCCCTCCCCAGTGAACTACGCATACGACCAGGACTCGGCCCGCTTCTTCTGCATGCCCCACTTCGGCCTACACTCGCTGGTCAAGTACAAGTACCAGCGCAAGGGCGCCCCGGAGGAGCCCGCCGACGCGCCCGACAAGCCGGTGAGGCTGGCACGCGGCGCTGGCGGGGCCGTGACGCACGGGACGGGCTGACGACCGCCTGCTCCGCTCCGGGCGGAATGCTCACAAGACTGATGCGTGGCGTTGGTGTGGGTAGCTGATGACCGTGTGGAGGGTGTTGGCGGTGATGTTGCAGTCGCTCTGGCGGTTTGATGTGTGTATAGCGGCGTGTTGGTGTATTGCCATTTCGCAGTCGGCTCCTCACAAGGCAGTGGTGCCCAACACGGTGTACAAGTTCTAAATCTCCTGTTCTGTCCCCCTCCGCTGCCTAAGGACAAGCTACAAGCGGTCCCCACCAACCCACAGCGCCCTAAGCTTAGACTTAGCCGCGTGCCCTGAGCCGGCGGGTTGGGAGCCACCGAGTGATTGACATACGCCGCCTGTGCAGCAGACGCTGTCGGTGGCGCCGGCGTCGGCGGCGCTGCGCGGCGCCACGCCTGAGCGGGCCGAGTTCGAGAACAGCGTGGTGGTGCAGTCCGAGGAGGAGGGCCTCTCCGAGATGGACGAGGATGAGTGGACCGACCACAACTTCGGCATGTCGGCCTGCCGAGCTCACCAGCGAGGACGTACTCGACGAGGAGGACAGGTCAGAGGGCGCGGGGTCGGCGCAGAGATCACAGGACGGGTCAGCCGAGTCCAACTGGAGAACAGGGCAGAGGGCGTGGGGCGGCGCAGAGCTCACGGGACGGGTCAGCCGAGTCCAACTGGAGGACAGGGCAGAGGCCATGGCACGGGGAGCAAAGGCCGCCGGACGGGCGAGAAGACCGGGTAGAAGTGGTGAACGAGGTCGTGAGAGCAAGACTGGGCAGAGGTCATGGGACTGTGCTGAGGCACAGGCCATGTGAGGGGCCACTAGGGGGTCGAAATGGCTGGGTAAAGCTCACTGGACAACAGGCGCAGGATGGATACACTGTAATGGACACTGAGGGTCATCAGGCTTGGATTTTACGTGCACGGAAACGGGGACATACGAGTAAGCGTCCAGGAGCGTGAGTAATAGTGGCTGCTCGGTGGGCGGTGGGGGGACTGGTGAGGGAACAGTGTGGCCATGGTAAGGGAACAGTGTGGCCAGGGAAGACAGTCTGGCGCCGGCTTATGACGTCCAAGTCCGCTCGCACATTCATTATGTAAGGTTTGGGATGAACTCCTTTTGGCTGTGGTTGATTCTCAAAAGACAGCGCAGGACGTGCTGTTGGAAAAGTGGTTGCTTATATGGTTTGGCGAAAATGTGAAGAGGCAAATTTGCACATTGTGAACTGTCAGCTTCATGTCGAATCAGCTCACCTTCTCACACTGCCCGGAGGAGCGCTTGCCGCCATTCGTGCATGGTGCGCCACCAGCGCCGAACCGCTGTAGTGGGCGTCGCCCCGGCCGCCGTTCCCCAGACCACCCACTCCTGCCCTCATTCTCCAGCCCACCCACGGCTCCCCACTCCAGACCACCCACCTCTCCCCACCCACTCTCCAGACCACCCACTGCTCGCCACTCTCCAGACGGCCCACCCCTCCCCGCTCACTCTCCAGACCACCCACTGCCCCCCACTCTCCAGACCACCCAGCCCTCCCCGCTCACTCTTCAGACCACCCACTGCCCCCCGCTCTCCAGACCACCCACCCTCCCACTCACTCTCCAGACCACCCACCCCTCCCCACTCACTCTCCAGACCACCCACTGCCCCCCGCTCTCCGGACCACCCACTCCTCCCACTCATTCTCCAGCCCACCCACTGCTCCCTACTCTCCAGACCACCCACCTCTTCCAGCTGTCCAGCCATACCTTTCCGCTCTCCAGACCACCCACCCTTCAATATGCTCAGGGCGATAAAAACCGAGTTGGGCTTGTGGTCGTCATACTCTCGCAGTGTGCGGTGGGAAGAGGTGGTTTTATGTAGGCTGCGTATTGGGCATACATATGCCACCCATGGCCATCTGTTGCATGGAACCGACAGACCCCTATGCCAGCGGTGTGGTGCCGTTTTCACTGTCCACCATGTTATTGTATCGTGTCCGTGCCTCATCGAAGAACGGCGATGCTTCGTCCCTGACGGTTAGCGATGTGCCCGGGGACAGTTCTTCCTTTCTTGATTCCAAACAACTGTTTTCGTTCTTAAAAGATATTGATTTTCAAGTCATTTTCACACCATACTAATTAAGTAAAAGCATCGTTATGGGCGCAAAATGACCATTGCAGTCGACGCGCCCGAAAACACCAATGAACAACAACCACCCACCCTTCCACACTCTACAGACCAACCACCCCTCCACACTCTCCATACCGCTCCCCGCTCTCCAGACGACCCATAGACCACGGACACCTCCGCGCTCTTCAGATCACCCGCCCCTCCACGCCACCGCCGCTCACCGTTGTCCGCCCCCGGCAGCGACGAGAACGACCTGTCGTCGTCCGGCGACGACGAGTACGAGGCGCCGCTGGACGAGGACGAGGCGCTGCGGCTGGCCGAACGCTGGCGGCGCCGGCACTCGCAGGACGCGCTGGACGAGCCCAGCGACCTGTACGAGTCGGACGGCGTGGACCGCGACGGAGACGGTACGCTGCCGGGTCGGGGCACGACTCGGGAGGCCCCCGTGGCCGTGCCAGTCCGAGGGCGCTGGTACATGGGCCAGCGGGACCACGGGGACCGCATCTGAGTTCTGGGTACGGGAGAGGGAAAAGCGGCAGATGGATGCTGTGAACGTTTGCTCTGCCCATGTTGGATCTCGTTGCAGCTCGACTCGGGGCGCGTGGCGCCGAAACATCCGTCGTTTTGCCGCACGCCTGATGAGCGGACAGGTGGCTGGTGCTGTGGAGGTGACACGGTGATGTTCGAAGTTGGCTGGCTCTGGTGGCTGTCAGCCGCCGCCCCGCCCAGCTGCGCCCACCGGGGAGTCGCGGCGTGTGGTCTGACCGGGCACCCCTCTGACGTCAGCCGCTGCCCCGCCCAGCTGCGCCCACCGGGGAGTCGCGGCGCGTGGTCTGACCGGGCACCCCTCTGACGTGACCCCAGACTCGGACACGGCCACGGACACGGACGCGGTCTGACCGGGCACCCCTCTGACGTGACCTCAGACTCGGACACGGCCACGGACACGGACGCGGTCTGACCGGGCACCCCTCTGACGTGACCCCAGACTCGGACACGGCCACGGACGCGGTCTCACCGAGCACCCCTCTGACGTGACCCCAGACTCGGACACGGCCACGGACAAGGACGCGGTCTGACCGGGCACCCCTCTGACGTGACCTCAGACTCGGACACGGCCACGGACACGGACGCGGTCTGACCTGGCACCCCTCTGACGTGACCCCAGACTCGGACACGGCCACGGACACGGACGCGGTCTGACCTGGCACCCCTCTGACGTGACCCCAGACTCGGACACGGCCACGGACACGGACGCGGTCTGATCTGGCACCCCTCTGACCTGGCCCTAGATTCGGACACGGCCACGCAGTCGGAGACGGAGGACGACGCGTCGGCCCGGCAACGGCGCCAGCAGGAGCTGCACCTGGCCGAGGACGTGCTCAAGTCACGCAACCGCAGTAGCAAGCATGGCGACACCAGCGATACCGAGGTGGGCACACCGCCGCGGCTGAGGAAGGGGGAGGGGGGAGCGGCCGGACGGAAACACCAGTGGCACGGAGGTGGGCGCACCGCCGCGGCTGAGGAGAGGGGGGGGAGGGAGGCGGACGGAATCACCAGTGACACGGATGTGGGCACACCGCCGCGGCTGAGGAAAGCGGAGGGGGGGGGGGGGGGGCGGACGGAATCACCAGTGACGCGGAGGTGGGCACGCCGTCGCGGCTGAGGAGGGAGGGGAGAGGGGGCCGCCGGACAGCATCACCAGCGACATAGATGTGGGCACACCGCCACGGCACGCAAAAGCGGCTGAGGAGAGAGGGGGAAGGCGGACGGGATCACCAGCGACGTGGAGGTAGGCAGACCATTGCGGCGCTCGCCAATGTGGCCGGGGAGGGAAGGGGGTGCTCGGACAGAATCGGGAAATTAAGTTTTTGTTGTATGCTCAGGTTCGGAAGAGATCTGCACGATGGAGCAATAGTCACCGGTTTCTAGTGTTAGTCGGAGCATGCTACGTCCAGGTATGAGGGCTGGTTTTGGGTTTGGGCTCTCCCACACGTCGCGAGGACCCAAACTTTGGGCACATGTTTTGTTCACTCAGTACTTGATCGCACCGGGCGTATTTAAACATGGGAACAGCAGCGATGTGTGCTGATGAATAACAAGGTCGTGGCTGTCATGATAGTCGGGTGTGATCCCGAAGTCGGGCAAGAGCAGCCGCTTCAGGTGATTTGGCCACTTTGTCCCTCGCACATTCGTGTTAATCTCATATTCGTGGAATTATTCAGATATTCGCGGACGCTGGCCACGGACGCTGTATATCTCTAAGAGGAAGAGAGAGAGAGAGAGGAGAGAGAGGAGAGAGAGGAGAGACGAGAGAGAGAGAGAGAGAGAGAGAGAGAGAGAGAGAGAGGAGAGGAGAGAGGAGAGGAGAGAGGAGAGGAGGACGAGGGAGGAGAGAGAGAGAGGAGAGAGAGGGCGAGGGAGGGAGAGGAGAGGGAGAGGGAGAGGAGAGGGAGAGGGAGAGGAGAGGGGAAGAGGAGAGGGAGAGGGAGAGGGACGGGAGAGGGAGAGGAGAGGGAGAGGGAGACGGGAGGAGAGGGAGAGGGGAGAGGGAGAGGGAGAGGGAGAGGGAGAGGGAGAGGGAGGAGGGATGAGGGAGGAGAGGAGAGGGAGAGGGAGAGGGAGAGGGAGAGGGAGGGAGAGGAGAGGAAGGGAGAGGGAGAGGGAGAGAGAGAGAGAGAGAGGGAGGGGGGGGGGGGCGCTGACAGTTCGGGAATCTCCATTTGGAGAAACTGTAGATCGGCATCAGGCCTTTGACCGGGACATTAGCAGCACAGGTAATGAAGGGAGTGCTTTGGCAAATGTGATGGAGAGCCTCGCTCAGTACGGACATGCTCGTAATTGGCCAGCTCATGTTTCACTTACGTTTCTTGGTAGCCTTTCAGAGGTGTCCGGTCTTTGGACTACATTAGGGTGAACACAAATTGCGAGTCTTCAGGAGCTGTAGCGTTGCCAGTGCACGCAACAAGCCTTTGAGAGACAATTATCTGCTGCTGCGCCCCGTTTCAGGCCCGTGGACGTGGTGCCCCGGAAGCTAGCGCCCCCGCGTCTGCCCTCGACGAGCCACGTTCGTCCCCATTGGCTAGGTCGGGTCCCCTGGCGTCATCTGCGCACCGCCGCGTGGTCGAACCCCCCGCGACTCCCTGCGCGCCCAAGACCGCCGGAGAGGCGCCTGACCGTGGTGCTGAGCACCGTCCCCAGACGTCGACCTCGGAGGCGGCCGCTCAGGCTGCCGCTGCTTCGGCGACGAGCTCCTCCCCGAGGCGTCCGTGCGAGAACGGGATCCCTCGGGCGCAGGGTGACCGCTGCTCCGCCGCGCCCGCCGAACACAGCCCGCCGGTGGAGCGTCTCGAGACAGACGCGGTGCCCTCCCGGACCCAGTCGCCATCGGGAAACACGGGACGGACGCGCCACCCGGCTCCACGTGAAACTGTGGAAGGACAGTCTAGCCCGTCGCCTACCGTTCAGATCGCCAGCGCGTCCCCTATAACCGACGGGGCGCCCTCTGAAGCCACTCGCACGCCCTTCGAGGCGACTGCGCCGCGCCCCGAGCCCACATGCCCGCCCGCCGGCACGTCCGAGGACCGCCGGCGACCGCCGGCGCCTCCGCCGCCGCCCGAGCCGGCACCGGAGCGACCGGAGGGCACCCCGGAGGGTGGGCGGCCGCCGTCACCGCCCCTGCCGCCCGGGCCGGCACCGGAGCGGCCGGAGGCCACCCCGGCGAGCGGGCCGCCCCCGCCGCCCGGGCCGGCACCGGAGCGGCCGGAGGCCACCCCGGAGGGCGGGCGGCCGCCGCTGCCGCCACGCTCGCCGCGCCGCACCGAGCGGCGCCGGCGCGGCTGCTGCGTCGTCCAATGACTGGCCGCCGCGCCGGCCACAGTAGGTGCCCGTGTGCCGCGTGCTCACCCGTGGTCGCGTGCCGTGCGCTAACCGCTTCTGATAACCGCCTGCGGATGCCCGAGCTCCGACCCGTAGTCAGGCGAGCCGAAGCTGGCGCACGGCTCCGTATAGACCGAGGCGCTCTGTTGTCGGCTGCTGGGGACGGCGCAGCGGCGCTGACGCTGGCGGAGGGCACGGCGGCGGCCGCCGCTGGTCCGAGGGCGACCGCGGAGGGTCATGCGGGATGACCCGTATTGGTGCGGCCAACAGGGGCGTGGCTCCGGCAGTAACGCGCGTGGAAACACCCGTATCGACTAGTGCATGGGCTGCGACTGCATGGTGTTCAAATCTTTCCGACGGATTTGGCCGATCCTAAACCCGTCTGATTCTTAACTGAGTGAAGGTGTAAATCGGAGAAGTCTGGGCGAACGAATGCCCGTCAAAAGTGTGGATTTGTCAGCGATCTACTGTGGTCATTTAGGTAGGCAAACTAATGTCACCCGCGATGTGAGCTCGCGTTCCTTACATGCGGAACAAAAACGTTGAGATTTTAACACACCATCCTGCGCCATCGCCTTTCTGGTATTACCTTTCTTCAGTCTTTGTAAAGATGTTGTCAAAGTCCTTTTATGCGGACAATTTGTTGTGACCTCTATTCCAAATCAGTCATTTACATCGCACGCGAGGCTGAGATCTATGCTGCGGTCCTGTGCCGACGTTTGACCCCACGTTGCTAACGCTTGCCTCGCCGCAGACGTCCTCCGACTCGGACTCGTCCTCGGAGACATCCTCGGAGGACGAGGACGCCACCGAGGTGGCCACCGACTCGGAGTTTGACGACGCGCCTGTGTCGGCGTCGCTGCCGCTGCCGACGATCGTCATCGAAAACTCGGCTGTCAGCGACGCCGCGTCGCCGCCGGTGACGCCCGAGCCCGGCCGGCGGCCGGAGCCGATCGGCGCCGAGCAGCAGAGCGGCGGCACACCGGACCCGGCGGCGGCGGCGGCGGCGGCGCCGGTGCCAGTGCCGGCGCGGGCACCGGGCGGGCCTGCCCGCACCGCCGCCAAACCCAAGCCCAAGCCCACCGCTGCGGAGGGCACCAAACAGGTGCCGGCCAAGGTCAGGGCCAAGACGATCGAGAACACCAACGCACGCCCGCGCGCCGCCGCGCCCCAGAAGCAGCCAGAGCCGAAGCCGGCGGCCGTAGAGGAGGAAGAGGAGGAAGACTCGGTGGCGAAAATAATCCGCGAGGCGCGCAAAAGCGCGCTGCCGCACCGGCCCTACCTGATCCAGCGCACTGAGTCAAGCGAGGCAATCGCCTGGAAGAGCTCGCTGGAGCTGAAGCGCAAATACCTGACGGAGCAGGCGGCGCCGTACGCGCCCAGCAAGTCGCAGTCGACCACCGACCTCGACAGCCGCGTCAAAACCTTCATGAGCCGCATCTCGGAGACGCAGAAGCTGCTGGGCGCGCGGCCGGCGGCGGCGCCGGCCGCGCCGCGGCCTCCCGCGGGCGCCGTGCGACAGACGCTCGGCTCACCGTCGGCAGCGTATTCGAGCCGGCTGGCGGGCCGGCCGGCCGGCGCGACGCCGTCTCCGTCGTCGCCGCCGCCGCCGCCGCCTCGCTCGCCTCTCGACGCTGTCGCCAGCCCCCTGCTGAACGCGCGCGCTGAGCCGCCGCCCGCGCCGTTCGCGCCGCTCGCCTCGCCTGCCGCCGAACCACAGGCGATGGAAGTGGACAGTGCGGAGACACCGCTGCCGGCTGCCGCCGCCGCGCCGCCGCCGGGTGACGTGGCGAGTCCGGAGGGTGGGGCCTCGCCGGAGCGGGCGCCGCGGCCGGCGGAGCAGGCCCCGGCGCTGGCGGACGACGCCGCGCCGCCGCTGGCCGGCCAGGACTCGGCCGAGGTGGAGGAGAGTCTGACGGACGTCTCGGCGGTTGAGTCGCCCAGCGGTGAGGCGCGCGCCGCCGCCGCCGCTGCCGCCGCCACCGCTGCCACCACCGCCGCCACCACCGCTGCCGCTACCGCCGCCGCCGCGGCGCTGGCCGAGGCCAGTGTGCATTCGTCGCTGAGCTCGGGCGGCACGGAGGGTCCGGACAGCCGGCTGGCCAGTCTGGACGAGCCGGACGAGCCGCCGCCGCCGCCACCGCCGCAATCGCCGCCGCCGGAGTCGCCACCGCCGGAGCCCGTCCGGCGAACTGCGACAGAAGAGAGTCCCATCGCGGAGTCGGTGTCAGAGCCTGTAGCCGAATCTGAGGAGCCTGTAGTGAAACTTGTGCCGAAGACCAATCAGCCCGAGCCATCGAATCAGGACGGTGCGTTCTTGCCTGGCCTGGCTGCCGAACCGAAGCCGGCGCCGAGGTCGCCGAGTGTTCCCGGCGGGCTGGAGGTGCCTATGCAGGTCGCGGCGGCCGCCCAGGCCGCGGTAGACAGGTTGGAGCCGGCCCCGAAGCTGGATGACACGCGGGCTGACTTTGACGCCCTGCTGGAGAACCTGGACGTCACCGTGCTGCAGGGCAAGTTCGACGGCCTGTGCGAGGAGCCGCCAGCCGCGCCGCCGGTCGGGACGCGTCAGACTCCCCCCGACAGCCGCACGGCTGCGGCTGTGCCGGTAACGACAGTCGGCGGCGAGCAGAGCGGGGAATTTGGAGCCGGACAAGTCAAGCCCGATGTCCAGGCATCGGCCGTCGAGGCGTCGCCGGACGGCAAGAGCGGGGCAGAGCCGGCCGGACTCGCGCCTGACGCCTCGTCGCCGCTGCCGCCGCCGGCCGGCAGCTCGGCCATCGACGTGACGCGCCTGATCCACGAGAACCGCACGCTGCTCTCGCAGATCCGGCGGCGGCGCTCGAGCGGCTCGCCGGCGCCGGGCGGCGGCGAGCCGGCGCACCGACCAGCGGCGGCGCCGGCGGCCGAGCAGCCCGACTCGCTCGACTCGCCGGCCGAGTCGGCGGCGCGCGACGCCACCGAGCTGGACCTGTCCGACTGGGCGCACGAGTCGGAGGTGGGCAGCGTGGCCGACGTACCGCGCCACTTCCAGATCGACGACCGCTTCGTGACGAAGCGGCGCGGCGGCGGCGCGTGCGCCGAGCGTGCCAACCTGGCCACGCTCAGCGACTTCGAGGACGTGCCCGACCTGCCTGAGGACTCGCCCAGCGAGCCGGCCGCGCCGCCCGCGCGCGATGAGCTCGACGAGCTGGATTTCGCCGACAACAGTGCCAGCGGCGAGGAGGGCGGCGGCGCGGCCGCCGAACCACTGCCGCCGATCAGAAACCTCGGTCACTGTGAGTACGTGTTCCCGGAGGAGATGGCGGCCGGCACCGGTGGCGTCGGCCCGGCGCTGTCGTCCGCACCGCCGGTGTCGGAGCCGGAGCTGAAGCCGGAGCTGAAGCCGGAGCTGAGGCCGGAGCTGAGGCCGGAGCTGAAGCCGGAGTCGGAGCCAGTGCCAGTGTTACCTGCCGTCGCTGGACGGGAGGAGCGGCGGGAGCCTCGCCGGCGGCTGACCGACACGAGCAGCAGGGCTGAGACGAAGACGACCGTGCGTCCGGGCGCCGCCACAGCCGCTGCCGTCGTCGCCAGGAGCGCGGCCAAGGCGCCGGAGCGGCAGCAGGAGAAGAGGCGCTCGGCAGCCGAGGCGCTGGCCGAGAGCAAGTCCAAGTACATCAAGAGCTCGGGCGATACCAAGGCGGCGGCGGCGGCCACGAAGCCTGCCACGGCCGTCAGTACGGCGGCCACCGGCGCTGCCACAAACCGAAGACGGGAGGGAAGCAGGTCGTCGTCGGGCGTCGGCGCTCAGAAGCCCACCAAAGACAGCAGCGTCGCCGGCAAGGTGGTGACGTACAGGAACCGTGCAGTGACGAAGAACGGGCCCGAGCGGAACTCGATGCCGGCGGTGGCGGCCGGCCCCCGGCTGGCGGCGGCGGCGGCCCTGAACCGGGCGCAACCGGCGAGCGGCGGGCGGCGGCCGCTCTCCGTCGGGCCCGCCACCACCGCCGTCGGTCTGACGCGCGTGCCGGCGGCGACTACGGCGACCCCCGCCGCGCGCCCCCGCGCCGCCCGCTCACGCCGGCATCCGTGTGTCGCCGATCGTCGAGCAGGCGAGCGCGCGCTTGCTGCTGCAGCGCAGCCCCACCGACTCGGCGATCGTGGTGGGGCAGCGGCCGGCCGGCGCGCGCGCCCAGCAGGGCAGCGTAGTGCGTGACCTGGTGCTGAGTCGCGTCAAGTCGCCCCGACCGGCAGCTGCGTAAGCGGCTCTCATCGCCTGCGCTGGCCAGCCGCGCGCCGCCGCCGCCGCCGCCGCTGACGGCGCCGCCCGAGACGCCGCCGGCGCCGCGGCGGCGCCCGTCGGCCGGCGCCGCGCTGCCGGCCGGCCCGCCGCCGCCCAAGCCGCCGCGCGACCCGGCCGCCGCGCTGGCGCTGTTCTCGCCGACGTCGCCGCCGGCGCGGCCGGGCGCGCTGCGCGCGGCGCTCAGCCGCAGCACGCCGAGCGTGCTGGAGCGGGCGGCGGTGGCGGCGTCGGACGCGGCCAGCCCCGACCTCTCGAGCAGCCGCTCACTGTCGCGTAGCCCCGAGCGGCCCGGGCCCGAGGGACGCTCGGACACGGGCAGCGCCGGCCACGACACCAAGAAGAAGCGCGAGCGGCGCAAGAGCATCATCCAGGCCATCTCGGGTGAGCTGGGCTGCCCGAGCGCTGGGGCTTGGTATCGGTGAATGGTTTTCATACCTCGTCATCTAAATGTATGGTGGCAACTTGTAGACCGGTAACTATTATCTAAGCTATCATGAAGGAAGGCACGGTCAGCTATTGTCACAAAGTTGCTGACCGCACATATTGCATATTCCCCGTGACGGGATATTTTTGCGTAGGAGCCACGAGCGCGGTCACTGCGTTTCTGGTTGTGATCTCGCTGCAAGCGGTGACAAAGCGCGCGCGCCGCCGCCGGCAGACATCTTCAAATCGGGGGACAAGAAGGAGAAGCCGTCCAGCCCGCCGCCCGAGCGCGTGCTGTCGGCCAGCCCGCCGCGAACGCCGTTCGTCAAGGCCAACTCTGTCCGGGACAAGCTCGGCCTCCGGCTGAAGAAGGTCAAGGTCAGTGGTGTGGACGCCGCGCCCGATGGCTGACGTCCACTGTGGTGCCGGCGCCGTGGCCGATGGATGACGTCACACCGCGGCCGTGGCTGGCGCGTGTTGTGCGTTAGGTCAGTCACGGCAAGGGTGCGTCCGCGAACACAAGCGTGTGTGCGTTGTGCGTGTTTGCGATGTCCACTTGAACACAGAGCATCGGCTTGCGCGGCGGTGATGTCTTGACTGCCGTCGGTCATGCTCTTCCGATTGCACCAGGCCAGACACGGGGCTAGAGCTGACACTTTTGAGGCAGTAAGTGTGCAACTCCCAGGGTTAAAGAGCCCGCATGCCATAACTGGGCATTGCGGGCTACAATGCGGTTTTAGCGTGATTTCTGTAGGCATAATTTACAAACTTGCGTTTTTCCGTCACAAAGATACGTTGATATAACTACCTAGCCACGTTGGTAACAAATGCTGAAGAGAAAGAAGTTTTTTTGTACTAGAAATAGTGAAATGTGAAGTTATGTTTATTTTTAGAGTTCCCCGGTCATGCGATGAGTCATTTTAAGCAAATGATCCATGGCACATCCTATAGCTTCAAGAACAGGCTACCATGGCTAAGAACTTTGCTACCTACATTAAGCTATGAAAACTGAACTACGTATTTGGAGAGGATGCAGTGCCCACGCGAGCAGTATAGCTTACAGTTCAGTTAGGGTCTACATAGGGTTTGCCCAACCACCAATTGCCACCCGACGCCTGGAGTGAACTGAAAGCATGACCCTGCATTGAATAATAAAATATGAGTGCCAAATTCATGACAGCTACCACCAATTCAGTCATCTTTATCTCAGACCGTATCTGCTAACTATGCAACTTATATATAGCAGAACTTTCTGCTGTATGTATACGCTGTTCCGGTATTGAGCCACGAGGAAAACACCAAGTGCCAAATAATGTATCCAGTTTCGAAGCAGAAGCATTCAGGGACGGGTTCGGTGCACGGAGGTTGGCAAGGCTAGCCAGTGTTCCAGCTGTTCAAGGCGTTTGGGGAAGGCTCTTTTTTGGCTACTCCAGCTTTGGTGGGCAATTATTCTACAGTCGCTGGGCAGCTTGGCGACAGTCTTCGCCATATATTGTGGAAAATGGGAGTCCGCCGGCCGGTAGTCGAACCCGCGGCTCTGGAATGTCGATCCAGCATGCAAACCGCTACACCGCCAGGGTCCAATGAATGGCACCGATGTTCTGCACTATTGGGTGAGTAATTTGTTCTAACCGCCACCCATTAACGGGCGGCTAGGAGCGCTCCTCTCACTATCCCAGGAGCACAGCGAACCTCGCGCTAGTACCACAAATACTAAGCAAGTCGTGGCACTGTCTGCTAAGAGGTGGAAAGTAAAACACAAAATGAAATGACGAGGTTTCAAAGCTCAACAGCAGGTTATGTTAGTCCCTAGTAGAAATAAGCACGGAAGGTGAAATAGTGGCCGTAGCCAAATGCAATGGCTAGAGGCAGCATGCGACCGGCCGCATATGCCCGCCCAGGAAGGTGATTCACACGGTATTAGTAATAGAACATTCGAGCGGGCCTGGAAAGACAGTTTTCTGGTCCGATATAAAACAGTATAATATTGCTATGCTGGAAAGCAGCAAGCGAATTCTGTCCCTCAAAAGCTGGAAGCCGAGATACAGTCTTCCATGAGCACTAACATCCCCAGCTCGAAGAAACATAAACTGTTCAACGACCTTGAAGGCACGTTCAGAGACGACCACGTGGCGTGTGCACGAGCCCGTCTTGCTAGTCACGTGTGGATGAACAACCAGCTGTTCATGTGCAAAGTATGAAGTCATTCATAGCGCCCTCGACTTTCACCAAATGCCATGTTGTTGCCGTGAGTCGGTTTTTGGCTCACCATGTGGCATGAAGCTGCTTCGTTGATACTGGGATTGGTTAGTGTTCCATTTACACCTATAATGAAGGCATTTGTTGTATAAACCCAGCACGAATAGAACGGTTTTTGTAGTGACACTGAGCCTCGGTACTGGACGCGGGCGAGGGCAGGGCAATTATCCATCATTCAGATACTCCTGTTTATCAAATTGGAAAGGTCATACGGTGGTGCCTATTGATCAGGGATAGTGCTATTCTGGATTTTTTTTCCATGGCATGTGTTCTTGTTTGGGGCTCTCCATTTTTTAGTGTCTTTCTTGCTGAAGCTGAAAACTTGACTTGTTGGGGCACCTGTGGGCTTTGGATGACCCTTGTTTATGGTGGGCACCTTCTACCTTTCTCTTCTAACCTTACCTTACCTTGCCTTATATATTGGACTTATCAGTCATCACATAAGCCCAGGTGAATATAAATCTGGTCATATTTGCACATACTAATACTGGTTTCAGTTAAGTTATCTTCCTTATAAGGTCTGGAATGTTGGCTCCTTTTCAAAAGCCTTCTGCCCAGGGCTTCTGAAGGATTAAGAAGATTTTGTCTCAAGTCATGAGCCAAGGGGATGTTGTCTGAGCCCAATAGGCCTTCATGCCCTGGTCCTTTCATAGGCACTGCAAAATGATGCAGCACCCCAGGCCTTGAAACAAAGAAAACATAACAGGTTTTCTCAGTTGGTTTGTAAAAAGACATATCTGAAGGATTCATATTATTATATTTGTAGTTTCATGTTTGCAGATGAAAATGTTAGTAAATTTGCAGCCCCTTGTTTTAGGCTCATCAGTATGATGAGGTGTATGCACCTTGAGTGAAACAGGCTTATCAGTGTTGGCCATGAAAATACAGCTAAAGGATTGTACGTTTTGAGTTTCTTATGGAGTAGTTTGCCACTAATAGTATTTGGCAGAGTTTCTGTACCTGGATTGATAAGCTTGGCATTCCTATGTTTTTTGTGGAAAATTGCTCTGCAGGGTGGGGAAGATTGGAATTGTGTGTGGGGTTTCAAAATGTCAAAAAGGAAGAGCTGTAGCCTCTACTTTCAGTGAAAGTCTGTCTAGCCTCTGAAACGGTTTCGTGAATGTTTATTAATCACGTGATCCCGCCGTCGTCGGCCCTATTTCCCACGTGATCCCGCCGTCGTCGGCCTTATTTCCCACGTGACCCCGCCGTCGTCGGCGGGCACCCTGTGACGTGCCGTACGTCGTCCAGGACCGGAAGTCGGATGGCGGTGGTGCGGCGGCGGCGACTCGGGAGCCGGAGGAGGGACGGACGCCCGGCCCGGACCCGGCCGTCACGCAGAGCCCAGGTCTGTCGCCCGCGCCGGCGCCCGCTGTGACGGGGGGGGGGGGGCGCAGGGTGCCGCGCCTAGACGCGCAGGGTGCCGCGCCTATGGCACATAGGATGGATCTCCTTACAGGCTGACCAGAGTATTTGGATTCTGTTAGGCACCTTAATGTATGTCAAAAACGTGGACATTCGGTTAAATAATGCTGTTGGAGCGTGGTGTCGTGTTTTATGCGCGCCTTAACTCTTGAATTAGAATACCTTTCGTTAATGAGATAGTGGAGAGCTAAAGTGAGTGGAGCACGTCATTCGTTTGTTTGGCTAATAGTTCACGTTATTGATCTGGTTAATGTCTATCTTCTGATGAGATGCTACAGTCAAGATCGCTGAGAATGTCTGGGGAGCCTCGTCTGGCTTCCTTAGTGCCTGCCAAATGCCGCAATATCTTTGGGTCTCGTCTGCCCGGCCGCCTCTGACGAAGGTGTTTGTCCGCCGGCCAGACTCGTCGCTCGACTGCTCGCAGTACAGCGAGGTGACGTCGCCTCAGGGCACGCTCAGCCGCCGCTCCAAGACGAGCCGCGCCGCCAAACACGCCGAGATGCGCCGGTACGCACCCAGCCGCCGGAGCACGGGGCCGACGGGCCGGCCAGAGCTCCTGGCTGAATGCGTGCTGGACATGGAATTGGCGGTGTGTGGTCCAAGTGACTGTTCCCGAACGGCTGGATCGACCTCTGCCCCGCCAGCCAGTCACTGACCCTTCCCCACCCCCTGACGCCGTCTGACGAGGCTGGGTCGGCTGTGGTCGGGCCGCGACAGCTGGCCTGGCCTGACCTCTGCCCCGCCAGCCAGCCACTGACCCTCCCCCACCCCCTGACGCCACCTGACGAGGCTGGGTCGGCTGTGGTCGGGCCGCGACAGCTGGCCTGGACTGACCTCCGCCCCGCCAGCCAGCCACTGACCCTCCCCCACCCCCTGACGCCGTCTGACGCGGCCGAGTCGGCTGTGGTCGGGCCGCGACAGCTGACCTGGCCTGACCTCTGCCCCGCCAGCCAGCCACTGACCCTCCCCCACCCCCTGACGCCGCCTGACGCGGCCGAGTCGGCTGTGGTCGAGCCTCGACAGCTGCTGCCGCGCCGCCGGCGGCGGTGATGTCCCGAGCCCCGCCCTGACGGTGGTGACGTGTGCGTGGCAGGCTGCAACGGGCGCAGGAGCTGCAGCGCGAGCTGGACGAGGTGGAGGTGCGCCAGCGCGACCTGGAGCGGCGCGGCGTGGCCGTCGAGAAGGCCATCAGGGGAGAGGGGCAGGGTGAGTACTCGGCTCCTCTGCTCCTGCTGTCCTCTGTTGGGCGGGCCTAGTCTTGCCGCTGATGGCTGCATGAACCCACCTAACTGCTTAGTTGCGATCGGTTTTCACAATCGTAGCGTTGCGGCAGGGTGTGCTGCTTGCAAACGTGCATGCATCATTGCAATATACTTGCATTGTCATGACGCCGCCGAGAGCGTAGAATTGGTGACTATGGAACACGTCTGAAGCGAAATGGATGCTTTCTAGTAAGTCTAGCTAGACGCAGTTTGTGTGTGACGCCCAGTGACTAATGGCCTGCACTCCGAAGAGTGAACGGAGCGGCGGGCGCCTCTGAGCAGGTTGGGCGGCCATAGTCGGTGAACAGACTTGGATCTTTGTTGTTGGCACCGCGCCTAGGTGACCCGCGTGCCGCCCCACCCCTCACTAACCTGGCGTGCCAGCCTCGGTGGCCCGCGTGCCGCCGGCCGGTCCGCGTGTGCGCGTGCGGTGTCACTAACGCGCGGCGCGCGCGCAGCCGCCGGAGACGACGAGGCGGCCCTGATGCACGAGTGGTTCGACCTGGTGCACGAGCGCAGTCTGTTGGTGCGGCGCGACCAGCTGCTGCAGCTGCAGGTGCGCGAGCTCGAGCTGGAGGACCGCCACGACCGACTGCAGCTGGAGCTGCGCGAGCGCATGGCGACGCGCGGTAAGGAGGCGGCCCGCGGCCCACGGCGGGCCGGCGGGCTGGAGGCCGGAGCGCGCTCGTCGCGGTAGCGGCGTGGGGGCGCTGCCGCGTCTGGTCTGATTGGCTGCGGGTGGCGCGGCGATGAACGTTGTGTCGGACGCAGCTAACAGGTCGAACGACGTTCAGAACGCACCTGCCTTTCAGTCGCGCACTGTTGCTGGTAGTCTGCGGTTCTCTGGTGATGGTCGCACGTAACAGTGTGGTGCGTGCGCGCGTGTGTCGCGCACCGCTCCGCACCTCGGCAGGCCGATGCGTGACCCAGTAGCGCTGTGTGCTGCTCCCGCGCCGGGCCTGAGCGGCGCGGCGGCGCGCTGACCCGTCCCCTCCGGCCGGCAGACTCGCAGAAAACGCCCGGCGACATTGACCGCGAGCGCGAAGTGGTGACGGCGCTGCTGGAGATCGCCGAGCAGCGGCGCGCCCTGCGCCGCGCGATGGACGACGAGCAGGAGAGGTACGCGGCGGCGACCGACCGGCGCCAGTGGCAGCTGGTGACGCGGGCCCGCGGGCCCTGCCGCCGCCGCCGCCGCCGCCCAGCGCCGCTTGCGATGTCGAGGCGCGCGCTGGCCGCCCGCGTGCTGCTGGCGCTGACCGCCGTGCTGGCGCTGCACTGGCTGCGCCTTTTCGAGCCCTGGACCTTTGAGCTGTTTGTGTGAAGGGTGGTGGGGGGCAGTGCGGGTGGTGACGACGCGGTTGTTGTTTGTCTGTGATAAGGCTCTTTGTGTGGGGGCTGGGGAAGCGGGGTGGGAGAGAGCGTGGTGACGCATTTTCCCGTGGCAGAGCTGTTTGTCTGAGGGATGGGGGTAGGGAGTGTGGATGATGACGACGCTTGTTCGTTGGCAGAGATGTTTGAGGGGTGGTGGGAGGGTGCTGACTTGCGCGAGTATTTGGCATGTGGCACGTGTTGATGTGCTGATTTTTGTTGAGGCATTACATGCTTACGACTTCTGAATGTTTTTGTTGCTGTTTTTTGGCAGATTTATGTTATCTTAGGTATCATGGCTTTTGGAAGCTGCTGTGTCATGACAGTGTGATCTGCTGGTTGGGCTAACGGAGATCCCTGGCCCCTCCTGTATTTCGATGACGTATGACAGTGACATCTCCCATTCAGAATTGTTGTCAAGTTTTTTTTTCTCAGACGTAGCAGCTGTTATCATACACTTGCCTTCCAGCCCTCTGCTTTTCCAGAAATTTTGTATTGTGCTAGATATTGTCTAGTCTTGCAGCCTGCTAGGAGATGTACCTGATGGCCCGATGTTTTCGGCACATCAAATTAGGAAATGAATTATATTTTTCTGGGAGGAAAATGTGGTAGTTGGTATTACATGCGCATCGATGAGAAGCTGTGGTTGTTTTGGGGTCCGTCATTTTATTTTTTGTAGAATGCTGTTAGGTACTTGTCCTTTTCTCTGGCGGCCAGCCACATCAGTCAGGAATGGCCAGTTTCATTGTTTGCAGATTTATTGTATTGCCATGATTGAACTAGCGCAGCTTGTCCGTGGTCTCGAAGTCCATTGCAACATGGCGGAGCGAGCAAAGCCTGTGATCCATTTGCTGACGAAAACCGAGATATAAAGCTTCTCGTTATTGACTAATATGCTGAGGTGCGCCAGTGCATTAACCCTGAAATTCATACAGATGCATTTCGCAAACGGATTGTGGATTAACTAACTGCAACATTGTACATACGGTTAAACGCAATTACGTAATTTCGCAAGGGCTGCCGTATTTTCGACATTGGAGCCTGCATCCTGCCTTGTTACGTGTGAGGTAGTCGTCTGTATGTGAGCCGATTGACTGGGCGTCAGGGGTCCGCGATTGTGGCGGGTCCCAGCTGACCCCCGCCCGGGCAGCGTCCGTTTCCCGTAACCCGCATCCTCGCCAGGACGTGTGCCCCGCCGGCGTGACGGGAGCGGCCCTGACAGCGGTGGCGGGTGTGCTAACGGCGACCCTCCGCAGGCGGCGGCGGCGCGCCACGCGGCGCCCATTGGTCGTAACGCCCGCTGCCTGTACTAAGCTTGGCGGGCGTGGCGGCAGCGGCGGCGGCGGCGGCGGGCGCGGTCTGACGCCGCACTAACGCCTGTTGCAGACTGCGCGCCGAGTGCGAGTCGGCCGAGAGTCGGCGCCTGCCGCTGGCCGCCTCGGCCGCCGGACCGGCCGAGTCCACCGTGTAGTGCGCCGGACCGGACCGGACCGCGCCGCGCCGGACAGGACCGCCGGCGACGGGACGGACCCGGCGACGCCGACAGACGGACGGACTGACGAACTGACAGCTGGTGGACGCCACGCGCGCGCCGGTGGCGGCGGGCAGAGCGAGCCCCTCTCCAGAGCAGTGGACACGCTGGACCCGGATTGCAAGTTGCAATACGCTGCGCCGGACTGACTAGCTGGTGGAGGTGCTACCTGACCGACTACCGCAGCTACCGTCTTAGATGGTATATATATATTGACCGAGCTGCAGTGTCTGAAAGCCCGACTTGTGTTATTTTCCCACCTAGGCGAGGTAGGTCATTTGCCTGCACCCGCCACTTCTGTTTGATTTCGGTCGGCAGGCGAGCTGTGCTCGTCGGATGTCTGCTGCCGCCGGCAGACGCGAGGGAGTGCGTGTTTATTTCGCGGCCGTCCCCAGCCGCCCCTGACGCGGCGGCTGGGGACAGGCGCCGTTACCGTGGACAGCTTTAACCGGCCGTTGGAGGGGGCGCGCGGCGGCGGCTCTGCGCGTCCAGGTGAAGCGGCGCCGACCTCGCGGCCGGCGTCGTCGCGTTGTGTGGCGCCGCCGTGTCGTGTGAATGTGGCGCGCGCCGCCAAGGCTGCCGTGTGCCGACGCGGCAGCGCCTGCGCGACCTTTGCTTGACGTACTCGATGTAGGAAGTTTGTTTTCTAGCATGGCACCGGCCGACTTGGGAGCGGACGCGTGTCTGCGGCGGGCAGCTCCGACGGTTCGTCTCTCCGGTGTTAGCGGCGGCTGCCTCCTGCGCCGCCGCCGCCGCCGCCGGGTTTTTAACGCGTGGTGATATTTATTTGAATAGTGAGACGCGCAATCATACTCTGAACAACGACGGCCGATATTGCCTGCAGTTGTGGCGCTGCCGCCGGGATTTCAGTGCCTTGGTCGGCCGCCGCCTGGTCGCCCGGCCCGCGCGCCGCCGGCGCCGGGCCCTCCGGCCGCGGCCGCCTGACCGGGCGGCTGCCGCTTGCCGTTCTGCTAGTCGCTTTGATCACTCGCAACGATCGTGTGGGGCAGCGTACGGTCGGTCCCTCTGTCTCAAACGCTTACTTTTTGCCGCCTTTTGTAATGAATATTAACGTACTCCACTGGCGTTTCTCTGGGTGGCTGGCGGAGCTGAATGACTTCGGAAGGACGGCCTCGGCCTTGTGGTCGGCACTGGGGAGCTGACGCCGGCACGGACAGGCTGCAGCTGCCTGGTCCGGAGGCGCACGCGAGGTGCAGGACATTGAGCACACCTTGCGGTGACCGAGCCGCGTCGGTTACGCGCGGCCTTCTCGCCCGGCGTAAGAAAGCGCGACGTAGTCAGCATGTATATTTGGCGAGTAGTTATCACAAGGTGAGTGCCGGGCTCGGTGCGTGACTGGTCGCTACACAGCTAGGGGTACACCGACTACGGACGAGCGATCGTGACTAGGGGGTCGGGCGCGGCGCGAGCGGCCCGGGCGGCGGCCGACGACTCGTCCGCGCCCTCCGGCCGCGGGGGCCGCGGACCCAGTCGGCAGTACGAAGAGCATATGCAGTGAGTGGGGGCGGCACCAGAGACCGGCGGGTCTCCCGCCGGCTCATGTACGAAACCGTGCATGCAAAGCCGGGCGGATACAAAAGTGTAAAAACGGGAAGGATCCACGTCGATCGATGGCACGAAAATCGGCCGAAAAATTGAAGCGGGTCGAAAGCAACGTCGTCGCCCTGCGGCCCGTGAAGACTTCTTGCACAGAACTGACGCTTCGCGACGGGCGGCGCGACACGTACCTGTCTACACGCTATTGCCACAAGTACACGCAAAGCCAGGTCGCTCCATATGACCCGCACCGACCACGCGTCGGTGGGGTACACACGCGCACACATCGGCAACATACGCCGAACGAGACTAGACAGCTAAGCACCCTGGAGAAGCAACAGAGGCTACGTTCGCCGCACGAGATTATGCCCTCTCCTACATTCGCTACCACGGCGGCAGGGCGCGTGCGAACGCAACTGAGTAGCAGCGCGGGACACCCACCGCCGATGAGAAGACCGCTCGACGGCACGGTCGAAATAAGACGGCTCTGAGGGGCCGCGCGCCGGCTGAGGGAGCAGCCGCGCGCGACCATAGAGCTTGAGACGCGGCCTGGCCGAGCCGGCGCCGCCGCCGGTCCCCGCCCCAACCCAGAGCGGATCGGACCCAGACTATCCACCCGCGCGGGGCGACCTCACCGTCGGCTGGAGGTGGACGGGCTGCCGATGCTCGGGGCGCGGCTGGTGTAGGCGCTGTTGGCGGCCGTCGTGTAGCCGTACACGCCCATCTGCTGGTCCAGCCGGTCCTGGAACTCGAGCAGCCGCTCCACGATGGCGGCGAACGACGGCCGCTTTTCCGCCTCCGTCGCCCAGCAGTGCTGCATCAGCTGGTGGATGGTGCGCGGCGTGTTCTCGGGTCGCTTCAGCCGGTTGCCCTCCTTCAGGTGGCGCACCACCTCCTCGTGCGACATGCCGAAGTAGGGCTGAAGCGCGAACGAGAAGATCTCCCAGAGCACGACGCCGAACGCCCACACGTCCGACTGCAGGGTGTACTTGTTGTAGAGGATGCTCTCCAGCGGCATCCAACGCACGGGGATTGCGTCGTGCTCGTCGCCTCGGAAGTAGTTTGAGCAGATCTTCTGCGAGAGCCCGAAGTCGGCGATCTTGACCACCATCTGCTCGTTGATGAGGCAGTTGCGGCAGGCCAGGTCGCGGTGCACGAACTGCCGCTCGGCCAGGTACTGCATGCCGCTGGCGATCTGCTGGGCGATCATCGTCATGTCCAGGTGGCTCAGCGTCGAGTCGCTGAAGATCTCGCCCGTCTCGTGCTTGATGATGACGTTCTTGGGCGACGCCTGGCGCAGGTACTCGTTCAGGTCGCCCTGGTTCATGAACTCGAACAGCAGGCAGAGCGGTCGGCCGACGGCGCACACCGCCAGCAGCCGCACGATGTTTGGGTGGTCGAAGCCGGCCAGCAGGCGCGCCTCGCGCTCCAAGTCGCGCTCCATGTCCTCCGACGCGTCCTCTTTCAGCATCTTGACGGCCACCATGGTGAAGTCCTCGCCCTCTACCAGGTCCGGCGCCTTCGCCTGCCAGGGAAGCTCGGCGTCAAAGCAGTCGGAAAGCGATACTCATAAGCCGCTTGGAAGGACGGTGGGATGGCTACCCTTCAGGGACACAATGCAAAACACATTGACCCAACAAACGCGCGCGGTTCTGTGGAACTTCCCAGCCGACGTCTAAGACGCCTGAGCCACCGCCGTCACCAGCCTACATTTCTGCTCTCCCACGGCTTGCCGCCTCAACATCCCGCCCCGCGCTAGCTCCAGCCAGAAAGCTGTCCAGCTGCCGCCTCCGCACCTCCCACAGTCCGGACGCCAGGGCTCACCTGAAAAACGCGACCGAACGCGCCCTGGCCCAGGTCGCGCACGTAGATGATGTCGTTGCGCGCGTACTCGAGCGGCTCAAGGCTAGCCGGCAGCAGCGGCGCGTGCTGGTGGTAGCTGGTGTTGGACGGCAGCTTGGTCAGATCGATCGCCTCCGCCTCCTGAGGGCGGCCGCCGGGCCGTGTCAGGCACGGCACGCGGGGCGAGGGCCAGGAGGCAGGCCAGATACCATACACAGCCAGAATGTGTGACGAGTGAGCACAATCCGCGTCCACCGGGGCATCAGGCTGAGTGATGTCCGTAGGGTAGGTCCGGCTTTGTGGCGATCTAGATCGGAAAACAAGCAAAAAAGGGCACCTGGGTGCTATTCGATACGGCACAGGCAGGCTTCAATACATTGGAGAACAGCCATTGCGTATGTATTGGTGTGGTAACGGCGCACCGCGCTGTTACCACAGCAGCAGGAGCGGCAAGCAGAACGCGCCGTTACCAAAGCTGCGGCACTAGCGCACCGCGCCGCCCTAACCCCCTACCACCGAGCGGTGCCCCCTCCCATCGTCGCCAGCCATCACCTTGCGCTGGGCGGCGCGGCGACGCGCCCGCCGACAGCGGCAGCAGCCGTACACGGCCATGGCCGCCATGATGACGGCCGTGACGCTGGCCACGGCCAGCACCAGCAGGAAGACCGGGTCCATCGGCAGAGGGAAGCCGTCGGCGGCGTCCCCCGCCGGCGCCGCCGCCGACACGGCCGAGTCGCGCTCCCAGGCGGCGGCCGGGTCATCGGCGTATAGCGTACTGTTGTCCGCTGAGGGGAAGGCCGGGCGGAGGTCAGTTGCGGTGTACAGTGGACTGTTGTCCGTTGAGGAGAGCGATGACAGTTAGGTGGACTGTGCAATGTGAGCCTTTGCTTCGCTGCGGCCGAGGATGTAGCTCCAGTATCAGAGCCAACGCCAGTGACGTGCCATGACCGCCAAAAACACTGCTCGGCAACGCCCATAGCATCCATGTGATCATTGCCGGCAGTCCAGTACCAGCATTCACGTTAGCGATGTAGTCATAGTCATTTATTAGAATCCTTTCAGCCGGTGGTCAGTACGAATCTTGTCAACGTGACCGCGTAATACTGTAAAATACAAGACAAAACATCATACAATTGACCAGTTGAAATAGCTCCACTACCAACGCCAGTGCAGCTCCGCGCCAGCGAAGCACCGAGCGCCTCGGCCACCAGCAGCGCCCCAGCGCCACCGGAGCGGCGGCGGCGGCGCGCTCACCGCATCGCTCGACGCCGCAGTGCTGCCAGCGGACGGCCGGGTCGGTGGTGTAGCACCAGGGCTGCGGCTCCTGGCCGCCGGCGTTGCGGCAGTAGTTCTCGGCGCCGGCCAGCTCCGGGAACAGGCCCACCGGGGTGCTGTGCTCGTGCGGGTGCTGCGCGTCCCAGCGCTGGCACAGGATGCCCTCGGCCGTCGAGTTGACCCGGCCCTGGTAGTAGCGGCCGCGGCCCCGCACGCAGTCGTCTGCCGACACGCACGCGCGCGCGCGGGCTGCTAGTGACGGGAGCTGGGGGCTGGGATGGATACCATCCCGCGGTGGTCACCGCGGCGAGAGAGCGGCCACAGGCCTCGTCAAACATGACACGCGCTTGACAAACGCCCTGGCTGCCAACATCACCTGGACGTATGAAATGCCTTGATGAATCATCTCGTCCCAGTAAGTGTCACTACACACTTCACATTACATTAGCACCATCCTCCCCCCGCCCGCCCCGGGCGGTGGGGGACGGTGGTACTCACAGGTGACGAGTGCGGTGAGCATGGCAGTGAGGCCGGCGTACGAGCAGCGCTGGCGGCGCCCCCCCCCCCCCCCCCCCTCCCCGGGCGGCGGTACTCACAGGTGACGAGGGAGGTGAGCATGACAGTGAGGCCGGCGTACAAGCAGCGGTGGCGGTGTCCCCCCCCCCCCCCCACCCCTCCGGGCGGCGGTACTCACAGGTGACGAGCGAGGTAAGCATGACAGTGAGGCTGGCGTACGAGCAGCGGTGGCGGTGCCCCCCTCCCCGGGCGGCGGTACTCACAGGTGACGAGCGAGGTGAGCATGACGGTCAGGCCGGCGTACGAGCAGCGGTGGCGCGCGCCGTCCCCATGCTCCGGCAGCTGCTCGCAGGTCGGCAGCGCCAGGTGGCTGGGCACCCTGGAACGGCGCGGCGCACGGCACGTCGGCGCTGGGCGACGCACGGGTGCTATGTAGGGAGAGCACGGACCAAACGGAACAACGGGACACGTGCCATAAGTTAACGTTCCAAAGGAAACGTTCCACATGGTGTAAGCACACACGGCGGTGTTGCAAGATCAGACCAAGATAAATTCACCGGTTCTGAAAATAACAAAGTTATTGCAAAGCGCACTAAATATGTAACACAGGGTAAGCTATTTGTGTGAAGACAATTTACGGGAATGTTCCACATTTGAAGATATTGAAGCAATCGTCAGATGTGTGAAATAGGCTCACTTCTGACTATGACCTTATTTCACCTACAGCTCGCTCATTGGTATCCTTCAAATGGGAGTGCTCCGCATTCGTATGGGGTTTAAACTGAAACAGACATCCTGAACATCATTCCGTGCAGTTCACGGTCCTGCCTTTCTTGAGGTCCGAACCCCTCTATTTTCTGAGCTGCACACCCGCGAAAACTTGTAGACTATTTCGAGGACACTGTTTCAAGGTCACCTAACGCGAATGATGGGAGATTCCCCCAAGTGATAAGAAAACCCAAAACTTTACAAATGTTTTCCCAGCAGTTAATACATGGTAGCATGCCCGAGTCGCCCGGACGCCGCCGCCACGCACCTGGAGTCTTTGACGAGCAGCCACTCCTTGGCGCAGAAGAGCTCGCGCACAGCCAGGCAGTCCTCCCGGCAGGGCGGCAGTGCCGCCTGTGTGCCGTTGGACTGGCTGCACTGCGGAAATGCTACACTGCAGAGCAGCGTCTGGGAAGCGGCGAGCGTCACGTCAGACGTCCGGCACCCTACACGAGCGTCACGTCAGACATCTATCACTCCACACGAGCGTCACGTCAGACGCCCGGCACTCCACACGAGCGTCAGGTCAGACGTCCGGCACTCCACACGAGCGTCACGTCAGACGTCCGTCACCCTACACGAGCGTCACGTCAGACGTCCGTCACCCTACACGAGCGTCACGTCAGACATCCGCCGCTTCACACGAGCGTCACGTCAGACATCCGCCGCTTCACACGAGCGTCACGTCAGACATCTGTCACTTCACACGAGCGTCACGTCAGACATCTGTCACTTCACACGAGCGTCACGTCAGACATCTGTCATTCCACACGAGCGTCACGTCAGACATCTGTCACTTCACACGAGAGTCATGCCAGAAATCCAGCAATCCACACGAGCGTCACGTCAGACATCCGTCACTCCACACGAGCGTCACGTCAGACATCTGTCACTCCACACGAGCGTCACGTCAGACATCTGTCACTTCACACGAGCGTCACGTCAGACATCTGTCACTCCACACGAGCGTCACGTCAGACGTCCGTCACCCTAAATGAGCGTCACGTCAGACATCTGTCACTCCACACGGGCGTCACGTAAGACATCTGTCACTCCACACGAGAGTCACGCCAGAAATCCAGCAATCCACACGAGCGTCACGTCAGACATCCGTCACTCCACACGAGCGTCACGTCAGACATCAGGCACTCCACACGAGCGTCACGTCAGACATCAGGCACTCCACATAAGCTACACGTCAAACATCCGCCACTCCACACGAGCGTCATGACAGACATCTGTCACTCCACACGAGCTTAGTGTCACACATCCGGCACTCTACAAATCCGTCACTTTCCACAAGCGTTATGTCAGACGTCCGTTGCTCCATACAAGTGTCACGTCAGACAATCGTCACTCCACGCCAGCTTGGATGGGGCCGAATCCGACCATCAAAGAAACTGCATAGCACACTCGGCCGGGCTTCATAGCAGCGCACAGCTCATAGCACTGCATAGTACTCCGAACGGCCGGGGTTCGCATTACGAATGAAGAAACAAAGGCAAAGACAAAGAGACAAACCGCCTCTTGATCCCCCCCCCCCCGCAGAGCAGGTTGGCACACGCCGCACAGGTCAACCAGGTGTTTCCGCCCTCGGCCTAACTCCAGAGCAGGTTGGCCCACGCTGCAGAGGTCGACCCAGATGTCCCCGCCCCTTGACCCACCTCCAGAGCAGGCCGACACACGTCGCTGAGGTCGTCGGCGTGGTGGAGGAGCTGCTGGCGGACGGCGCGCTCATGGTCGAACGTGTCGCCACCCTGGTAGGTGGTGTTGTACCAGACGAACGGCGCCGCGCTCAGGTGGTGCCGACACACCTCGCCCACGTAGGGCGCGCAGTAGCCCAGCGGCGAAGAGCCGTCGTACCCTGCGACGCGGCGCCGGTCAGTCGGACGGCGCGCCGGACCCACGGGCGCACGGCGTCCGTCAGCGCGCACCGCTGACGGGGAGGCCGCACCTTTGGTAAAAGCATGATGATACATACACAAATGTATCGCCTCCGTCCTCCCTGATAATACAGCAAGCTGTGTTGAGAGCTACATGTTGCAAGTATTAGTCACCAACGTGAGATTCTGAACGCACTGTGTGTAATTTGTTCATTTATTTTATGAACTGGCCCACCAATCTTTCAAGGAAAACGTGGCCTTGGTAAATCTGCCTTCCACGACCTCTCCAAGACCCCGCAGAACATCGTGGTCCGGAACAACGTCTTCTACGGCCTTGGACGAGTGGTTTGATAACACACAGGGTTGTTATCACCATGCAGATGATACCTAAAACACGGCCAAACGAACCCTGCCCCTCTGCCAATCCCCACACAACAGACTTCGCAACGCGTTTGTATATCCTCCTCTCATGAGCTCAGCAGGCGGAGGCGCGGAGAGCAGACGCTGCGCTGACCTGTGCGTGGGACGCCGCGCACGCCGACGGCCACGACGGCGGCGGCCGCGCGTGGACGCCCCACCACCCGGTTGGCGCCCTGGCAGATGTACTCGCTGGAGGCGGCCGGCCGCACAAACAGCTCCGACCGCACGAACCGCGCAAACGGCGGGTAAGTCGGCTGCGACACCACCTGAGGCGTGGACGACAGTCAGACGGGGTACGGGTACGGGTGCGGGGGACGTCGGCTGCGACACCACCTGAGCCGTGGGCGACAGTCAGACGGGGTACGGGTACGGGTGCGGGGTGGGGTGGGAGGAGGGGGCAGTCGGTGTGACAGCAGTATCAGACGGGGAGCTGTGCCGGGGATGGACCGTCAAAAGGCGACATTTGGTAGGAAACAAACATGCAGCAGGACACAGGAGTGTGATTGCAGCGGTGTGGTCGTGGTTAGATGGGCTATACTTCACGTTTAGTGCATGAAAATCTGCTGGACAGCGCGCTTCGAGTTCACCAAATCCAGGGTCATGTTGTCATGCTAAGTCTTAACACGCGCCCAGGTGGCCAGTTGAATACCCTTCGCTAAGGTGGGGATCAATTCGACTCCACTGAGACCGTAAAAACTGACTGAGCTAGAGACACCAAATTCAACTGTGTGTCGATTTGTACGTGAACTCGCTTAATTCAAGGTTTTACATTCCTAGGTCATGATCTCCGGGCCAAATAACGTCAAAAAGGGTCGAACTAAAGGTTGGTCCCTAAAGTGCCCCCAGAACCTAAACATCTGTTCTAAGCAAAAGGTCCATGTTCATTTCAGATCAATGATCTTGCTTGACCATTTGGAGGTCATGGCGACCAAAATAAAACAAAACTGCTTTGAGTTTTGCATCTGAATTAAAGCGACGATTACGCTAGGCAGCATGTTCCTAAAAACAGAGTGTTGAACCGGGTCACTCTAGGTCGGTGACCTATTCTGACCTTTAACGAGTCGATAGAAGATGTATAATGCGGTTCCTTTTGTCACTGAGTTCGAAATAAGCACCAAAAACAGCCCGATACAGCAAACCCTATCTTAGTAAAACAGGTTCGTTTTGACCTTGGTCTGACCTTAATATCTGACCCTAGGTCAATGGAATGTTGATTCAACTGTAGAGTTGCATAATAAAGTATTTCAGAGATGCATAGCTTTGTCTAACATTCTGTTGTTGGATAAAATTGAGTGATTCTCTAGAAATTGAACTCGCTGAATCCATGGCCTGACTTCGACCTACTGTAGGTCACCGACCTTGGAAGGTACATCTAAATTGCTGATATCAAACGATCCGCTATTGAATTTTCTATACCTAGGCAAATTTTGACGCCGCTGCACCGCGCCGTTCAGAAACCATTTCAGAAAAAACCTTCGGGGGGTCAATTCGACCGCCGCCCCCCGCCCGAGCGCGAGTTAAGACATTTTTAACACCTTTACTATCAGACTGTACGGGAAGCATCCCGATAAAAATTTACATGGTATCTTCATGGCCTACTGGCACGAAAAATTTGTCTTTCTCACAGTTCAGCCCAGTAACTTCCCTGCTGCTGTAAATATAAAGACAAAAGAGCCATTGAAAAAACTGCAAACTTGTACGACACTAAAGCGGCCAGCATATTCAAAGTAGAAAAAAGGCTTCAAATGAGGAACATAATGCAAACACACACCTCTTCCCGCAGAAGCAACGACGAAAATATTTGGTCAAAACACTTTGCAAATGGGCTGATACGGAAAGACAATCGGGAAAACTTATACAAGCAACAGCACCAAACACACCCAACATAAGGCCCGGACAAGAACGAGGATAATCCAAACGATAAAACATGTGTCACTCACCTCAGCCTGCCAACTGGACTTCCGCAGCTGGAAAATACAACGACTTAATAAAACAGCAAGCACCACACACTGCACAGCGGAGGAGTAAGATGCTGCCAACACACACCGTGTCAAACTGGGTTCTTTCAAGCACCGACGGCAGTGACGTGCACAGTGCTTCATAACGCCGCGATGTGAAGCTTCAGGAAAGCCACCTCACTCCAACCCAAAGATGCGTGCACACCGACCCGAACAGCGCGGCCCCGGCTCCGTTCGCTCGCCTCACCGGTTCGCCCCTGTAGAGCCAGGTGACCTCCGGTAGGGGGTCGCCGCCCAGGTCACAGCCCAGGGTCACCAGTGCGCCGCTGGGCACGGCCTCGGTCACAGTACGGGTCTGCAGCACCTGCACCGGCACTGAAACGACGGACACGGCACCATACAGCGCCGGCCCAGCTCCACAGGCCGGCTGGGACCGGGGACCGGACTGCCGGCTCTGCCTGGGACCGGGGGACCAGGACGCCGGCTCTGGCTGGGACCGGGGGACGGGACCGCCGGCTCTGGCTGGGTCTGGGGGACCAGACCGCCGGCTCTGGCTGGGACCGGGGGACCGGGCCGCCCACTCTGGCTGGGACCGGGGGACTGGGCCGCCCGCTCTGGCTGGGACCGGGGGACCGGGCCGCCCATTCTGCCTGGGACCCGGGGACCGGGCCGCCCGCTTTGGCTGGGTCCGGGAGACGGGACCGCCAGTCCTGGCTGGGACCGGGAACCCGGCCGCTGGATCTGAACGGGGGGCGGCCACGGGGTCTGAGACCATCGCCTCGGCACATCGTGCGATGGCATCACTTATTCTTACGACACACATCACGGTGACATCGTGCGCTCGCCGCGAGTACACCGGGACAGTCGAACCCAATTACATGACACATTATTCAGCCCGCTTATGACGGGCGTCGCCTATGGCGTGGTGCCGGCAGCAGGCTGCGCTGCGCGACTGCCGCTGGCCGGCTATCCACCTCTGACGGCCACCTGGGCCAACGCAACCCGCTCCTGACGGCCACCTGGGCCACGGCCACCATCTCTGACGGCCATCTGGGCCACGACCACCCACACCTGACGGCCACCTGGGCCACGGCCACCCACCTCTGACGACCACCTGGGCCATGACCACCCACCCCTGGCGGCTACACGGGCCATGGCCACCCACCTCTAGCGGCTACCTGGGCCTTGGCCACCCACCTCTGACGGCCACCTGGGCCATGGCCACCCACCCCTGGTGGCTACCTGGGCCATGGCCACCCACCTCTGACGGCCACCTGGGCCACGGCCTTCTGCACGCCGAGCGAGCTCCAGACGCGGCACCGGTAGCGGCCCTCGTCCTGCTTGGTCACCTTGAGCACCGTCAGCCGGCCGTCCTCGCCCGTGACGTGGTTCTCCGCTGCGGGGGCCGCGGCCCGGGTCAGGCACGGCGAGGCGTCCGCAGCGAGGGCAGCGGGCCGGCGGTGGTCACCAGGTACAGCGCCACCGCACGGCGGAGGGACGGACGGAGGGAGAGGGGGTGATATAGGATGCTGTTGGCATATGGAGGGTTCGACCGGTTCCATCACCTGCTGCATTATAAAGCATAGCATGGAAGGTACACACAACGGGCATGAAAAAACGGCCACGAGCGCAACGTATAGGGATTACGTTCTGACATTCCCCATGCTGATATTTGACATCTAAAAATGCACACATCACATGGAGGGACACAATAGCACCGACATGTGTGAAGGCGACAATTTCGGGATCGGCTTTGAAGCAGCAGGTTCCAAGACGATGAAAATGCTAAAACCACCCACGAAATTAGCTGCAACTTCTTAGCCCCAAGGCCGCGACCCAAAATTGCATCATCTTCGATGTTTTCATAAGCATATGCATTGGCGTCTGTGGAACCGAAAATCTGGCTCTCGAAACATGCGATCCTTCCCCCTTTCCTCCCCCCTATCATTCCCCAAGAGCTCTGTCGGCCTGAGGCCGCAGCAGGGCTCAGTGACGGGCCGTCAGCCGCCGTCTGCCCCATGTACCCTTCTCGTCGAGCGGGCGGAAGAAGTTGGTGCCGGCCGCCTGGAACTCCCAGCGGACGCGAGGCGTCGGCTCGCCGCGCCGCTCGCAGGGCAGCTCCAGCCGTCCGCCTAGCTTCACCTCCGTGTTCTGCGGCCGTCGGGTGATCTCCGGAGCTGCCGGGCCGCCGGCGGTGATCAAGCACGCTCGCCACGGTCCAGCACGCGGGCAGTGACCGCCGCAACACGCTCACCACGGTCCAGCACACGGGCAGTGACCGCCGCAACACGCTCGCCACGGTCCAACACACGGGCAGTGACCGCCGCAACACGCTCGCCACGGTCCAGCACACAAGCAGTGACCGCCGCAACACGCTCGCCTCGCTCCAGCACACAGGCAGCGACGCGCCGCAACACGCTTGCCACGGTCCAGCAAACAGGCAGCGACGCGCCGCACGACGGTGGGAAGGTGGCGGCAACCAGACAAAACAGCCAATTTGTGTTTTTCTGCACATTTATGGGGCAAGACTGTTGCACACATGGCATGCTGTCCTGTTCTTACTGACACAGATGCCACAATGTGACCAGTTTGCAAAATGCATGCATCAAACAAAATCCATTTGTCCTGTACATGCACAGTTGACTGGTTAGCAAATTTATTAGCTGTTGGGAGCAAAAAAACAAAAACACATCAAGATATAGCCCAGTCCAAAAATTAAGTCATATCCCAAGTGCAAAGCATGATAGGGCATGGTATCATGCCAATACATACCACTTTGCTCTGTGAACCCAGCAGTGAGTCCAACACACAGGGTAGTGAGAGCTGTGAGCAGCATGTTTCAGTTGTTTTTCTTTTCAGTAGTCTATGTTTTTCTCATCACATATTTATTTGTGACCATATTGGCTGTTGGTTCCAGTCTGAAACAAGGAAAGGTCACAAAAGACTATATTGCTGCTGTTGAAAAGGTCACTGGATGATCACAGCCATCTCATGATAATGATCATTCATGTTAAGGGAGCATTCACTGCAAAGATCTCTGCATGTCCATAACATCATTATATTCATATGATGGATTACACATAAAACAACATGGCTTAGCCATGATAGCAACCAGGTTGCTGAGGTCAAGGATCAAGGCAAAGCAGTCACATGTATTGCCAAATACTGCATTTCAAAAGCTATTTAGCAGGACCAATTCTCACCAGATGTGCCTATATCTCTACAATGCTTTTACTGCAAACAACTGTGCCATTACTCCATGTAAAAAGAATGTGCATTTGGAAATATCTGCATCACAACAAATGGCAAAAATATACAGTTTAGTTAGAAAAATGATAAAAAGTTAACAAGCTTTTCAACATCTCTTAAAATGGCCTTTATGCTGTTTTGAAGATGACCAGCACTTTGCTTAATCTGGCACCTGGAGTAAAAGGCTGTATATTTCAAATGATTCAAACATGCTTAAACACAGATAAAATGGTACCATTCATTTCAAGAGCTGCCTTCCACACAGCTGGCAGACTTAACCATGCCAATTTTTGAAAGATATGATAAATTATATTTGATTCCACCTTATTTTCATGCAAACCCTCAGCTTTCAAATGTTTTTATCACCTTGTTTTGAAACACAATCTCTTATTGCAACATTTCTATAAAACTGGTTGATCTTAAAAATCACAGCTGAATATTTGGATACTTCAGAATGTATTCATTTCCTAGTTATTATGTCATGATATGGTCAAAGTCAGACCAGTCTGTAGAGGGGTCAATAGATTCATAATTCAGAGTGCCTTGCCTCTTGGCCTGTTTTATCTCATTAGAGGCAGCATGCCACTAAGGATCCCAACCAATTTGATCATTGGATAACTTGATGATGATAATGAATTAAAATTAGCTGAATAGCCTTAAAACAGCTTGCAGTGGTAAAAGGTTATCATGATTATTGACTAGTATGTCCTCACCATGCATGTTTTAGCCCGGAAAAATTGGAACATACCAAACAGTGTATTTGGCATAATGCCAGAACATGTATGCCCCCTGACATGTCCTACCATCCAAGATGGAAGCACCAGATTGAGCCCAGGACTTAAACAAACCCATCTAATTTATCTCAAAGTCATTTTATCAAGTGACCCAGTCAAAGCAATTAAAAGTGTCTAGCACATTTATGACATTGAAACACTAGAGAGCATGATTCCATGGTATACTAACACGTGTCTACAAGTATTAACTGGATAACTTAATTTCATTTATGCAACTTAATTCACCAGTCCTATGGAACGGAACAAAAGCCAGTATCACCTCAAATTCCATACATTTCAGCATTTACAGGGACATCATTTATTTATGGGTTTAGACATCAGATAGCCACCAGACATTATTATGCCTTCTTGCTTTTGCCAGTTCTTTTGACGCTAGGCGCGCATTGATGTCCTTTAATAAGTTTAGGATTCCTTTGTCTATGGAACCCATTTATTAAGGAAAAACGCATAGCGCAATAATGACAGCCAATCCCCACCTACTTATCGATCCTCCCGCTACCGCCAACTAACACAATTCTGTTAGGTGCTCGCAAGGCCGGGGCAGAAGCGACAAATGCTGGGCGGAGTACACGCCTCAATAGCGCAAGGTACGCCACAGAAATGGGGTGTAACTTTCAACAGCTGAGTAGGATGGTTTTTCTTCTTAGCACACCTTACTTCGGATTTTGGCAACGAGTTTTTGAAGCTAAGATTAATGCTCTTTGAGTTAATTAGTTGTCAAATACCACTCTTTGATTTTAACTATGCCAATATGCCACCAAATTTGCACTTGAATGGTGCTCTTATTTGTGCAATGATGGAAAAAATCTCTTCGAACAAATTACAGTAAAAACAAAAATGTTCACGGCAAGGCATGCAATTTGATTAGTGCTATGTCTGCCATTAATTTTAAAGAAAATCAAGATTGTAAAAAGTTTAGACGCCTCTTATCTGGAAGTAACAAGAGAATCGCATCAGCTTTACCCATGTTTTGCTTTTGTGTATGACGTCATAAGAAAATCAGCGGAGCGCCTAAATTCCCATTTTATTTTTGAAGCCCACATCTCCAGTGCCGACATCACGCGTTACACTGGTATTGTAATGTACGACCACTGTGACGTCTGACTATATGATACCTGGCTTGGTGATCCGTTGCTTTTCTATGCTCTGCCCCCTACTCTGCCGTGGGTTAAACTCGGCTGTCTTTCCTGGGAAAACTGAGGGGGCGTCTTTCCATGCTTTGTTGACTGTTAAATGCGCATGAGCTCTTGTGTCTCTTGTTTATGCATTTCATAGCTATTTTCGCCAGTGGCCTTTGCTTTACGTAGCTGGTGCTATTGGCATCGGTTGGATAGCATCTATTTCTGGCTGTTTCAAATCGCCTGCGTGTCAACACCATCGGACGCTAAACTAAGGTTTTTTGAACAGAAGTGTGAAAGGGAGCGAAATGACAAGCTTTTTTAAAGGGTATCAATACTATGATACTAAGGATGGTGAAGACTGCCACAAGAAGATCTGGTTTATGACTAAAACAGCACTTGTGTTCAGTGAGTGGACTTGTAGTTTATAGAGGGATGTTTGGAGGGCATTGCATTGTTTAAGGAAACTGCAACTTGTATAACTTCATTTGCTTGTGGAATGATTAGTGGCATGCATTGAACAAGATGCCAAAGTCTCCATTTCAGAGGTTGGTGGTTTTGGCAGCATAACTAAATTAATAAAGGTTTATTAGCATTGCTAGGGGTAAGGGGCTTTTGCTCAGTTGCATAGCTATGGGGAGATACTGATTTTTTGTCAAGTGTTGTGTGAATAATATTTTTGGAGTATATTTGCCTGATATCACCTTTAAAACATCATTATCATTACATTACATTTTCAGTACAGCATCAGTTCCATTTTCTGAAATTGGTGGGACTGTGTGATAGAGCTTTCTTGTTTCTGCTGTACATATGTTAAATTTGATGCCTGTACTTCACTGTTATGCAGAAAATGTTCATCTGTGGTAAGTTTTATTTGCAATCCGGCTCATATCCTAGGTTATAGGGAGGCATTTCCCAGCTTTCTGTTTTGTCTTTCTGTTCTGTTTTCCCAGCTTTCTGATTCTTGGATTTTGATCTAGTTTATATTACCTCCCTGTGTATACCCTTTAACATATGTCTCAAATGTTAATGGCTCCAAATCTCTGGCCTTCTTTAAACAAGACTGCCCAAAACAGTTTGCATGGATGGCTAGATTAGTCTCCTGAGCATGCCATATTGAAAAACCTGATCCCATTTCTACATGGGAACAGTTCCAGTTCATTGCATGATGCCACATGCCTGGGCCATACATTGGCCTTGAGAGGATCAAACTGAAATATTGGATGGCAATGTGTAACATTGTTCTTATGGGTTCATCCAAGTAGGTCAGTTAAGTTAGAGGTGGTTGGCTCACTATGAGGGCAGAAATATTCCTTGAGCTTTTTAAGCCCATGTCTTACCATGAGGCAAACACTTGGAAAGCAGCTGTGTACTGCTGCGCTCCTCTACCCCCTGTTAGCCTGGTTTCTGTGCCTGTGTAAACCCAGGAATGGTTGGTACAATGTTGCATGTTGCATACAATGACCACACCGGTGGTCATTTCTGATGAAAATGTTGTTTGGAAAGGCTCAGGAGGCATTAAAGGGAAGGTGTAGGGATGTGTCTGACAGTTATTGAACATTTTGATGATAGCACTGAATGGAAAGGATGCATCTACCATTCCTTCCAACTTTCCTCCATGCCCCTCCTCAGTACCACCTGTTACTGCTGCCACACCTGTTAGCAGCCACTTCGACGGGGAATGTGTGAGCTGGGCATGCCCGCAGCACATAGGTGGAGCCTATGGGGCCAGACAGCACTGGAGGGTCTCACCCCACTCCCGTGCGGCCGACAGGTGCCTGGGCAGCTCCCAGCTACTGTGCGCTGGTGACCAAGCCGGTGGGCGCCTGGCAGACGGCGCACGGCCTCGGCTACATCACCATCCCAATGGTGACGTCAGCAGCGACGTTCGCCGCCACGGCCTGCGCGCTCACCAACCTGCGCGGCAAGGACGACCTGCTCAACCCCATGGCAGGTGGCTTTGCGGCTGGCAGCATCTTCGGCGCCTGGAGTGAGTGGCAGAAGAGCTGGTGGGCGGCGCGCTGGGGTGGGGTGGGCGAGGGGGCGACCAGCGGGGGAGCGTGGGATGCGGAGTGGAGAGACGGGTTTTCAGGGTTGCAGCAGTATAGCGCATCCACAAGTTGTGAATGCAGCATAATGAGATCCCAGTGTGGAAAGTTCCATTGACCTGAAAAGGTGCTTTCTTTGCTTTTTAAAGCAAGGTAATTGTTCGGGAGTGGCTGGCATCTCAGTTGGTCATTAGTGTCCGGCATCGATCTTTCGGCGGGTATATTTCACTTCACCAATGTCTTCCGGGGTGTAGCCTCTGGCGACCGTGATAATGACGCGCAGTCTGCGACTACCTATGGGTCGGCTCTGTTGCAGAGCACTGCATGTGGACCGGCG